GAGAACCACATGTAGTTATCTGTAGTTTAGAGTAGATGTTTTAGAGTAGAATATTTGATAAAAAGGCTTTCTTCATTGTAACTACTTCGTACAATATATATACTGTTAAACGGTTAATACTATGCGTCCGATCCGAAACATATGAAAACGGACTTGTCTGTTCTCCGTGCTGTGCTTACTAATCGACACCGCTCCGGCTATTCCCGGGTAAGTCGGTGTTCCCTACATTATTCATCTATGTATGTATTACTAATCCTTTTACTCCTGTGCTCGTACAGTCATCATGTACGACTGAGTCCAACACTCCCCCTCGAGCACAGTCCACCTTCATCTTCCCTCTCAATTCCCTAAACCGTGGTGCCGGCAGTGCTTTCGTAAAAGCGTCCGCAACGTTTTCGAGCGTCGGACAATATTGGAGTTGGATGGTGCCGTTTTCGACAAGGTCGCGGATGTAATGATACCTTATGTCAATATGCTTGGTGCGTGCGCGGAATTTGTTGTTTGATGCTAACGCTATTGCTCCTTGGTTGTCGCAGTAGGTGGGGATACATTCATCCATCGGCTCGTATAGCTCACTGATGAGACTTTTTAGATATAGGATTTCGCGCGCTACCGACGTCAGCGCAATATATTCCGCTTCGGCGGTTGATAAAGCAACTAGCGACTGCTTTCGCGCGCTCCACGCTACTGGAGATCCGTGCAACAGGACGATATAGCCCGATATTGAGTGTCGATGGGGCTGACTCGCCCAATCAGCGTCTACAAACGCTTCTAAACCTTGATTTGTGGTTCCTAGGGTAAGTTTTGAATTCTTTGTCCCCTTTAGATAGCGTATGACTCGTTTAGCAGCTTCCCAGTGCGCACTAGCTGGCTCTCGCATGAACTGCGAGAGTATCGAAACAGCGAAGGCTATATCCGGACGTGTGCTCGTCGCAGCATACATTAGCGATCCAATGGCCTGTTGATACGGTACGTGTTGTTCGGGTATTTCAGGTTTGGTGTCTGGTGAATGGTCTGATGACTCTTTCATTAGAACTACTCCAGTTTCCATTGGTGTTTGCGACGTTGTCGCATCCTTCATCCTGAATCTCTCGACTATAGTGTCGATGTATGCTTCTTGCGACAACATTATGGTCTGCGCCTTTCGGTCCCTTTCAACCTTTAGTCCTAGGAGCCAGGTAAGCTCTCCTAGGTCCGAAATCTCAAAACGTTTACAAAGCTGATCTTTGAACTTTTGGATGTGCTTTAGGTGTTTTGATGTGACGGCCATGTCGTCGACGGAAACGGTGATAACGGTATGTTCTTCTTCGGCTTGTCGATAGTATACGGCTTGGTCGACTTGAGAGCGCGTGAAGTCGTTACTGAGGAAAAATTCTTCTAGCTCCTCGGACCATTCAAAACCGGCCTGCTTTAGGCCATATAAGCTACGCAATAGCTTTAATACCTTTCCTTCGTCTCCTTTGTTCAAGTATCCTGGCGGCGCGCGCATATATATGTCGTCGTTGAGCTTGGCATTGAGGTAAGCACTTTTAACATCGACTTGATGTATTTCCCAGTTGTGCTTAGCTGCCATCGTTAGGACAGTACGAATTGTCGTCATACTTGAGGTAGGTGCGAATGTTTCTTGATAGTCTACGCCGTACTCTTGGCGCTGACCATTTGCGACAAGTCTCGCACGCAGCTTTACCTTCTCGCCATTTGGTCCACGCTTTGTCGCTAGGACAAAATGGCAAGGTATTATATTCGCGCCTTTAGGTGGGTCCACAATTTCCCATGTCTTGAGTTTCTCTAATTGACCAATCTCATAGTCTATGGCTTGTTGCCATTCCTCTGCGTCTGGTCCATTTAACGCTTCTCTAAGCGTCGGTTCCTTCTCTGCGGCTGCCATGGCCATATATGGAAAAGAATTCGATTGAGTGTTGTCCGGTGAGTTTTCCATTGCTATGGTTGCTCTTTCTCCTTCATTTAACGCTTTGTAGTATCCTGCAGGGGGTCGTACTCTCGTGGTTCTGGGCGTTATTGGGTCTGGAAGTTGCTGTGTACTCTGGGGTGGCGTTTTGGGAGGTTGGCTTGGTGTTTGTGGGACTTGGGATGTTGCGACGGGCTGGACGATATTCGGTATGTTGATCTGTTCTTCCTGGTTATACTCCCCCTCGTCCAGTATGTCGTTACGAACGATGACGTCCGGCGGGACAAAGCTAACATTGCGTTCGACAGATACTCTTCTCTTCTTCGGCCAGTATACTCGGTAAGCTTTACTTTCCTCGTCTATTCCCACAAATTGACCTTCTTCTGCTCTAGCTTCGAGCTTTCCTCCATCTGGTGAGTGCACATAGAGTCGTGCGCCGAATTCCCGTGCGTTTACTAAACTTGGTTTTGCTTTGTGTAGCAATTCATAGGACGTGTATCCTGGGATCGCCCTCGAAGGTAGGCGATTTTTGAGCCATGTTGTGTAATTGACGGCTTCGGCCCATAAAAACTTTGGTAGGTCCTTTGCGAGTAGCATGGCTCGCGCGTGTTCGACTAATGTTCGATTTAGTCTTTCGGCTACACCATTCTGCTGTGGGGAATCGTGCACGGTGAGTTGTCTCTTTATTCCTTTTTCCTTCAGATATTCATCAAACTCCTTGCTTAGGTACTCTCCTCCTCGATCCGAACGTACTTTGCGCAGACGCGCATTATATTGTCGGCTTACATAAGCCTCGTATTCCTTGAATGCGGTAAGTGCGTCGCTCTTTCTCTTCAGGAATGTTACCCTCGTTTCCCGACTAAAATCATCTGTAAAGGTGATATAATACAGGCATCCGTTTATCGTTTCGGTTTGTGCCGGACCCCATAGATCTGTATGGACGAGGTCCCCATATGCGGATGATCTGGTCTTTGACTCGTTTGGAAATGGTTGTCGAGTGGCTTTGGCCTTTGCGCACGTTTCGCAAAAGGTAGGGTTTGAACTTTCATCTAACGTTATACCTCTGATCATGCCCTTCTTTATAGCATTTGTGATCGCTTCGTGGGATACATGTCCCAATGCTCGGTGTAATTCATCGATGGTATGTTTCGTTATTGCTGAGTTTGCGCTATGGGTCACTGATGCCGCGATTCGATATAGTCCTTCTATTTGAGGAATTTCGGCTATGGGTCTTCGCTCTGGTGCTGGGGTCAATATCCTGCACATGTTATCTTCGAGGTGTAATGCGAAACCGGCGGTAGCGATTCTGTTGGCCGATATTAACGTGAATGCCATCTTTGGCGTATATAGGGTGTCTTTGAGAGTCACAGTGGTCTTCTTTGTTCCCAAAGGTAGGTCTATCTTTATATCCCCTTTTCCTATGGCGCTGATGGTAGAACCGTCTGCAGTGTGCACATCTTGTGCTTTGATGGAGGTGAATGTTATGAACTTCGAGCGGTCGGGGCAGAAATGGGACGTTGCGCCCGAATCGATAATGGCTCCTTGTCTCTCGGCAGGTATGTTGATCCTTTTTGCCACATTTGCTAGATCTGACGTGACAAAAGCATAATCATTTGCTCTTTCGATCTTGTCTGCCGCATTAGCCGTTTGTCTTGGCGCCTTTCCACCTTGCCTTGGTCCCTGACCTTCTTTCCCTCCTCCAGGTCTCCAACAATCGGTTTTGTAATGACCCTTCCTCTCGCAGTTGAAACACGTAACATCCTTGCTTGCGGTGCTTGTACAATTCCTTTTCGTACTGTCCTTGGCCGAGAATGCGCTGTTGCCTCCTTTCTTTGAGGTCTTTGGGTTTGCTAGTTGTCTGTGCTCGTACTCTTCAGAGACGACACTGACTAGCTCGTATGGGGTGAGTGGTTGCTTTGTGATTCGGGCTGTCGCATTGATTGACGATAACAGGGGTCTGTAAGATTCTGGCAGAGATCCCATTATAATTGCGTAGAAGTCCTTTTCTTCTATGCTCGCCCCCATGCCTGCTAGCGTTTCGCGGATGCGAAACATGTCCCCAAAGTGAGTCTTCACATCACCTCCTTCCTCACATCTTGATTCTTGCAACTTCCGGCGCAGATCTATTTGAACTAATTCTGTCTTGCCTTCGTGTATTGTCCGAATTTCGGACCATATCTTCGAGGCGTTGCCAAGGTGCTGGACGCGCAACAATAGCTGATCCGAGATCGTGCTAAATAAGTGTTGCTTTGCGAGTGAGTCCTTCTGTAGATATTCATCTATCTTCTCTTCAAGTTCTTCTACTTCTGTTTCAGTTGCTACCGTGCCATCAGCCTTTTCGTACTTTCCAGCCGAGTTGGTCTTGTATGGGGTAGGTTCTTTGATTCGACCATCAAGGTATCGCATCAATCCTCGTGCGCGGATCACTGTTAACGCTCTTTCCTTGTAGGTTATCCAATTCGAGCCATCGTCGGCAAGTTTGGGGATGGTGTACAATGAGGAGCTGCTGTGGTGCGTGTTATCCATGATTGTCGGAGCAGGGCTCATAACCTGTAGTTATCTGTAGTTTAGAGTAGATGTTTTAGAGTAGAATATTTGATAAAAAGGCTTTCTTCATTGTAACTACTTCGTACAATATATATACTGTTAAACGGTTAATACTATGCGTCCGATCCGAAACATATGAAAACGGACTTGTCTGTTCTCCGTGCTGTGCTTACTAATCGACACCGCTCCGGCTATTCCCGGGTAAGTCGGTGTTCCCTACATTATTCATCTATGTATGTATTACTAATCCTTTTACTCCTGTGCTCGTACAGTCATCATGTACGACTGAGTCCAACACCACAGCCTCGTGCTGTATCTCCTGCGTATTCTGCCGGACAGCACGCGCGCTCGTACAGCGACGTGCTCATGGCGCGTATTCCCTCGATGCCAGGTGCGCTCGGGGAGACCCCCGCTCGTCTACAAAGTGAGACAACGGAGACCGAAGGGCAAGGTCTGGGTAAACAAACCCCAGTAAACATACATACTTCTGTTAGTAGAGATAGTAATGAAACAGAGAAGAATACTCACTTAGATACTCCAGTTAATGAGAGGAGTTGGTCACCAGAAAGACCCACGGACACTGGCGACGGCCAGAGTGGGGAATGGACCACTATTGAACGAAGGCGCGCTGCAGGCGCCAGAGGTGTGACCCAGAAGAAGGGTGAGCATCAGAATCTGACCCGGGAACAAGAAAACCTGGTGAGAGAAGCCGAAAATAAGTTGACCCCGGCTGAGAAAGAAAGAGTTTGGACTAGATGGAACATACCTAGTCGTCCGTCATCCGACGGCAGTGAGCCGGAGGAGTCCCAAGTAGCTGGACCCTCCAAGGACAAAGGAAAGGTCCCGGACCCCAGGAATTGGGGCAACGCCAACCTCGATGAGGAAGATATTGACCTGGAGGCCCAACGTGCTGCACTGGCGTCGTACCGAGCAGCACGAGGAGGAGGGCCGGACGTCAGGGCACAGGAAGAGGCGCTGCGCACATATAAGGCGGCGCAAGAATGGGCCCAGAGCTCTGACGAAGGGTCAGCGCCAAGAGACGCTGATAGCCGGACTCAACAGAAGGTCCCGGGAGATGACTTGATCACCAGGACCGAGGCAGAGGCCGCGGTGCGAGCTGCGGAAAAGGTGATAGAGAAATGATACGAAGAATATCTTCGAGAGAGGTACAAGATCAGATCTCGTCCGCTTCGAACCACGGCAAGCGATAGAGAAACGTTAGATCTAACTCCAAGGACGAAAAGAGGAAAGAGACGTACCAGGATCGGAGATAGAGATCCCGTTGGTGCGCTAGTCGATCATGCACTGGAAAGGTCTTCGGACCCTAGAGAGCGGCGCGCGACGCCTAAGGCGATGGACCCCGCGCGACAAGTGGCACCCAAAAGCTACATAGGACAAGCGTTAGGCCGCTTGGACAAGCAGCGCGACAAAAGCGAAAGACGCACCCGAAGACGAGGAGACAGTGAGCCCAGTGACGAGTCCAGCGACTTCAGCTCGTCAGACTCGGAAGGCTCTTCCAGCTCGTTGTCATCGTCCAGCTCGTCGAATAACTCGCGACGTTGACGAGCAAAGAGACGACGCGATCGTGCTAAAAAGAAAAGCACGTTAAAACCTATCCCACCCGTAAATTACGACGGCTCACCTGATTCGAGGGCGTTTCACCAGTTTCTGACTGAGGGGACGGCCTATGTCAAAGATGGCCATGTCGAACGAAAGAGGCGAGTTTACATCCTCGCTCATCATCTAAAGGGGAGAGCGCGTGAGTTCTACATAAGAGAAGTTTCTGGAGACCCTTACCGATGGAGACTCCGGGAGTTCTTCACGAAATTGTTTAACTATTGTTTCCCTGTCAATTTTAGAATGGAACAGAGAGCGAAGTTAAATAAATGTTACCAAAATACTAAGTCCGTCCGCGAGTACGTCTATGAGCTGAGTGAACTCTGGAACATGATAGGCGACGTGGAGGAACGGCAAAAGGTGTCGCGATTCTGGACAGGCCTAAGTCCCAGCATCCAGGCTGAACTCTGGAAGAAGGAGTTAAACCCGGAATCGTCGAGTTTCCGCGAAGTAAGAAACGCTGCAGAAATAATAGAAATAGCACACTCAGTGCCAATCCACCGGCGAGACAAGGAGAAACCCACTTCTGGCTCCGGAGGGACGAACGGAGGTGGCCAAAATACCAATCGCCGGGAGGATGGACGGCTGCGACACAAGGACAAAGGAAACCGAGCCCCGCAAAAAGGCGATGGCGGGTCTTGGAGAAAGCACGATAGAGGGAATCGTGCGGGAACTGCCGAAAACGGACTGAATCGCGGACAGAGGAAGGATACTGGACAAGGGAAAAACTCACCTGCAGAGAGGAAACCTGACCGGCTGAGTCAGGCTGAGAAAGAAAGGCACGCGGCTGAGGGCCTCTGCTATGTGTGCCATCAGCCAGGACATATATCCAGGAATTGCCCTGACAGGACCACTGTCAGAAGGACAGGGGGTGGTAATGCGCCCCCTGGTGTACAGAACTTCAGCATACAGGTAGACCTGAGCGAGGCAGAAAGGGTACCTCACCAAGATGACGCCATAGCGTCGAATGGTGCCACCGAGCTCGGCTGTGCGTCCATAGGACTAGACTATGAAAGTTCGGAGAGTGACGAAGAGTCAGATGAGGAAAGCGAATCCGAGGATGGATATCCCTTACCTTTGCCTAGAAGGCGCAGACCCACGACGTTCTACGATGGACCTGGGAAGGATCCTGACTGGGCGGCGCGGGGCGTTAAAGAAACGGCCATGGGAGACCCAGTGGCCATGCGGGCGAAATATATACTGGATGGAGGATTCTACCCATGGGATACCAATCCATGGCTACCCATCGACCCTGAACGATTCTTCGTGTACTGTATATCTGAAATAGAGCATGTTATAATGGACAGGGAGGATCGAAGGGACACCGAACTAACTGTGCTCACCTCACTGCTGCTGAACCCACAGTTCAGACTGGCCGAATGGTATGTGCAGAGGGTGGGGGCTCTTCAGGGAATGGACCCAAAGCAAATTCGTCAATGGCGAAATAGAGAACCAGGACCTAAGATGACGATGGAGACCCCATTGTCGGCACGCGCAGAGCAGTTACTAAAGCAGCGGAGACGTTACCCGGGTGACCCGGTTCGTGGAACGCATCACCCGGAGAGGTTTGAGTGCGCCCGACAGTATGATGGGGCGTACTTGATCCGGGATTATCTCCGGGGCTTCACGGTTAAGGTGCCAATCCCGTTGCTAATGAACCCTAAGTTTGAGTTAGCGTCCTGGTACGAGAAAAGGTTAACGGGGGCTCACGATAGACTCTGCGAAGGGCTAAGGGCGAATGAAGCGCTGGAGTTTAACATCTTAAGGATGTTAGACCAAAAGGTCTTGACGGAGATTGAGCGTCAGTTGGAAGAGGTGGCGAGGGAGATGTACTCTTTGCCACCCAATGCGAAGTTTTGGGGGGATGAGACCCACCTATTCGCGATTGAGTTAAATGGCCAGCAGATACCTGCAGGAACCTACCCGGCATTGCAGAGAGGAGCCGCAGTGACCAAAGACTTCAAGCGAATGATACCTAAGCCGGTCGTCGTCGTAGTCAACATCAACGGGCGACCGGCTCGTGCGCTAATCGATTCTGGGTCTCTGTCGGATTTCATGTCAGTAACTCTGGCAGAACAACTGAAAGTACAGAAGGCTGAACTTACCAAACCGTTGGTAGTGCAGCTGGCTGTCCAGGGATCCCGGACTAAGGTAAATTATGGCACTAGGGTGCAGATGAAGTACCAGAACATTAGCGAGCAGCGTTATTTCGATGTAATTAACTTACAAAATTACGATGTAGTGCTTGGGACACCGTTCCTCTTCCAGCATAAGGTAATGGTGGGGTTGAACCCACCGCGAGTGAACATCGGGAGTGCATTGCCATTGCCCATGAAGGGAGTAGAGGTGACTACGCTCGAAGCGCGCGCAGCCGCTGTCGAGACAGAGGACCTAGAAAAAGTGCGCGAAGACTTGCGACAGTTAGCACAACCCTTGTGCGCTAAGGCAAGCGAGACCAGCTTACCTCCCTTGAGGTCCATCAACCACACTATCCCGCTGATAGACGAGAATAAGATTTACCCATGGAGACCTTCCAGGTGCCCTGAGCCGCTGAGACCACAGTGGGCGGAGAAGCGACAGTCTTACCTAGCCAGTGGGAGGTGGCAGGTCACTAGCGCCGGCAATACAGTACCTATGCTGTTTATAAGGAAGCCGGGGTCAGATCGGTTAAGAACGGTTGTAGACCTGCGAGAGAGAAATAAGAACACTCACAAACTTACGTCGCCGTTGCCAGACATGGAGGGTATTCTGCGCCGTGTCGCGCGTAAGCATTATCGTTCTCTGATGGATGGTCAGGATGCGTATGAACAAATACGCGTCATACCAGAACACGTACCTCGTACAGCGATGACGACGCCGGATGGCAACATGGTGAGCCAGGTGTTGCAGCAGGGTGACTGCAATGCGCCGGCCACATATCAGGCTGTAATGAATCAGTTATTCGGGGCGTACATCAGCAGATGGATGGACGTTTACCTGGACGATATCATACTCTACTCTGATATGCTGTCGGATCACATAGCTCACATTAAGATCGTTCTGGACATTTTAGAACGGGAAAAGCTTTACCTTAGTGAAAAGAAATTGAAATTCCTGTGCGACGAGGTGAAGATCCTGGGACGGGTGGTTGACGGCAACGGGATCCGTATGGACCCGGAAAAAGTTGACCGTGTCCTCAATTGGAAGACTCCGGCGAACAGGGACCAATGCCGGGGCTTCATAGGCTCTGTGGGATACCTGGCGGACGACATTTATAAGGTCAGGATCCCGTTGGGAGTCTTGTCTGAAGTAACGGGAGATACAGTACCTTTTCGGTGGGACTTTGCGCAACAGCGCGCATTTGAGGAAGTCAAGCGGTATGTGGCCGCATGCGCGCCACACTGCCGTGTTCCGCTGGACTATGCCAAGAGCGCGCCTCCCATCTACGTCATGACAGACGCTAGCCTGGGAGGTATAGGCGGGGTTGTGTGCCAAGGGGAGGACTGGAAATGCGCAAAGGTTGCAGCGTTCTTTTCCGCGAAGCTGAATCCCGCGCAGCGCAACTATGCTGTGCACGAGCAAGAAATGTTGGCCGGGGTAGAGACCATGCTGAGGCATAGGGACATGCTGCAGGGAGCCAAGTTCACTTGGCTGACGGACCATAAGGGTTTGATTCATCTGTTGAATCAGAAGAACGTTAGTGGACGGCAAGCGCGATGGCTTGAGAAGATAGGTGAATTTGACTTCGACGTTAAGTACATACCGGGTGAGGAAAACCTCCTGCCCGACGCCCTATCACGTATGTACTCCTTTGATGGACCCAGAGCCGTGCCCAGCGAATATACAGAACACGATGGGGACCAGGAGGGTGACGGGGGCACGACACACCTAGCGTCGATACCCATGGTGGCGGGCGAACCGAGAATGGAGCCTTCTTTGAGGCGTAGCTCACGGGTTGCTGCAAAACCGGTGGTGGTGCCAGCCTGGCTGCCTAAAGGTCGCCGGGTCAGGCAACAATCAGTATTGTGCGAATCTACGGGGACAGAGCCAAGCGCACCTGAACGATCAGTATTGTGCGAATCTACGGGGACAGCACCGGACGCACCTGACCGATCAGTATTGTGCGAATCTACCGGACCAGCACAGGGTACCTCTGCACCTTCAGTACCGTGCGAGTCTACCGCCCTACGGCCACTGCGTGAGCGGAGGGCACGACAGGTGGAGGTCCCTGCGGAGAGTGGACGCCCTGAGACGTCCAAGGAGTTTGCCAGGAGGCTGCGGGATCGTTTCGTTCTGCTCGGGCCTGGTGAACGAAAGAAGGGCGGGGAGGAAGGTGATGCTCACCTCCCTGCAGAGCAGACACAGACGCAGCAGCCAGAATCGGACCATGGCGAGGAACGGTTCACCCCAATGGCGCAGCTGCCACGAAGGGAACTGGAGGATGAGACTCTAGCAGAAATCAGAGGTCAATATTACAAAGACCCATTCTTTCAGAAGGTAATGAACTCACCTAAACAATTCCGCAACTTTGAGGTTGCGGAAGGACTCATCCATATTCGACTGAATGATAGGACACTGATGTGCATACCGGACGTAAAGGTCGACGGTAGAAGGCTGCAGGAGAACCTAATCAGTCAAGCGCACACTCTGTTGGCCCACCTGGGCGCACAAAAGACACTCACATACTTAAGAGACCGTGTCTGATGGAAAACGATCGTGCGAGACGTGCACGCGTTCTGCGAATCCTGTGCGACATGCCAAATGAGTAAGTCCAGCAACCAGCGGCCATATGGGCTGCTGAGACCCTTACCTGTACCCTCCCAACCTGGGGAGGCAATGGGCATTGATTTCCTGGGGCCGCTACCCTTGTCAAAGGACAGGGACGGCGAATACGATTCGATAACTGTCATTATCGACCTCTTTAGTGGCATGGTTCATCTAGTACCTAGTAGAACCACTTACACGGCTAAAGAAGTGGCCGAGTTAGTCTTCACCGAGGTGTATAAACACCACGGCGTACCGAAGTACATAGTCAGCGATAGGGACGTGCTTTTCACAAGCGCATTCTGGACCAATTTCAATAAGTTAATCGGCGCCAAGCTGAAAATGTCGAGTGCTTACCACCCGGAGACAGACAGATCCACTGAACGCGCCAATAGGACCGTGGTCCAAATGTTGAGGGCGTGTATAGCCCTGAATCAGCGAGACTGGGTGCCTAGACTGCCGGCGATTGAATTCGCTATCAATATCGCGAGCTCAGAATCAACGAAACACTCACCATTTGAGACAAACACTGGAAGAACACCTAGGGCAATGGTGTGGGACGACCCATCAGAATCTGAGTATCCGGGAGTAAGAACCTACCTGCAAAAGATTGAGCGCACCATTATGGAAGCTCACGATAGCATCATTAGCGCAAGAGTAAAGCAAACGGTGGATGCCAATAAGAAACGGCGCCCAAGCCCGTTTGCACATGGGGACTTGGTGTACATATCCACCAAGAACTTAAACTTTCCTAAGGGGTTAGCACGCAAGCTGCTACCAAAGTACGTCGGACCTTACCGAATAATCGAGGACTTCGGGAACAATTCCTATCGTATTGAGCTACCTGCCAGGTTGAAGCAGAGGGGAATACATAACGTGTTCCACGCGTCTTACCTAAGGTTGCACGTACCGAACGATGATCGAAGGTTTCCAGGACGCCTGGACAACCAGGTCGCTGAGTTTGAAACTCAGGAACGAGAATGGGCCGTCGACCGGATTCTATCGCATAAGGGAAGCCGAGCTGACGCAATGTTCGAGGTTCAATGGAAGGCGGGAGACGTCACGTGGTTACCCTTCGATCAGGTTGACCACCTTGGCGCCCTCCGTGACTACCTCGATGTCCTGGGCGTCGACGACATCTCTGGCCTAACAGATGGCAACGAGGTCTCAGTGAGTATCGATGTCTCAAACATTGACTCACATGTGTTTTTAGGCGCAATGGGCTTGGGCTGGCCTGACCATATAAGCCGGCCCCACAACCCTTCTCCCCCATCGACTTCTACCTCACCAACCACTTCATCAACGCAAACCATGTCCTCTAACCCGCTTCCAACTCCCCTGTTCCGTGCCCAGAACGGGGTATTCGTCATGGCGGATCGTTACCGCCCCGGCGTCTCGTTGGCTATCACCCTTGACCAGCTGCGTCTGTACTTGCAGTACGACGCCGACCTGCGTAGCGGGACCGCCCCCAACACCATCATCACACCCATCGGCTACGACGACTTCGCCGTTGCGTTAAATTCGAATGCTGGGGCGGGCGTGCAAGTCGCCATTGTGCAAGAAGGGGACGAGGGAGTCCGCATTACCGGACGTCCCCCAACCTTGGCTGAACTCGTTGGGCTGGAAGCCACCCGACGAGCAGCACCCACCCCTCGTGACCCTCGGGAAGACGCTGGAGGCCAATGGTTGGACTCGCGTCGCTCTGAGCTCCTGGACCACGCACTGTGGGACAACTTGGAGCGGAACAAGAAGCAGCGCATTTGGCGCGACAAAAGCGTGGCCGAACGCCAGGCCAAACGGAGGCGAAGGGAGGATGATGAGGCGATGCGCCCTTTCGCACCCTCCACCTCCTTAACCAACGCCCTCGCTGGGCCCTCCGGCCTGAATAACCCCATCACTCCATCCATTCCTCCTCCCCCTCCTATTACACCAGTTCCTGACCCTCCTGCACCTCCTGTCGATGGCGAGGACGAGGAGATGGACGATGACAGAGCGGAAGAGTGCGCTCAGGACAAAGGCAAGGGGAAAGGACTCGGTCGTATCCCGAAGAAATGAGATGTCGCTGGACGACATCTGGTGGGGGGTATGTGACGCCCACGTCAGGACTTGACTCTATCGGGCCTTCGGACTTGGTCAAGGGCCTGGACGGGTCTGTCCCTCGTTATCTGAAACCAAGTATCTATCACATGCCTGTTACGAATAATCACAAGCTCCTACTTACAGATAGTATAAAGGGTCGTCGTATAGCTATCTGTAACGTTGGCGTTCTTGAATTGACTTGACTTGTATCTGGTTATTCTTGCGCGTCTTAGTAATCTCGCTGTGCCATATTCGAAAGCATTTGCTTCTCGTATCTGTCACACTTCGACTGGTACAAAGTCGCAAATGAAACAAACCTTGTTCCAATTTTCGAACACCGAATCGACGAATCAGTGTCCTTTTATCTTTCACAGCTTCGCCACTGAACGTTGAACATCAGCATTTCCGGGTCAGAAGCTATCTCGAGTCAAAAGGATAGTTTTGTATACAAGTGTCTTGTTGAATGGCCGATACTTATGGTGGACGATAGGTTACGGTTCGATTTGCCGATTTGCCGCCACTTATTTGGAAGTCCGATCGATGTTTGTTCTCGTGGTGCGACTATTTTTTAGTATACCCCAAGTATACTTGTAAATTTGTCACAAGTGTTATGTACTGCATGGGAGGCTCGTGCTCACTCATAATATCGTCCATTGCATTCTGCTATCCCTTCTGACATGCTCTTGCAAACCCTCCCTCGTGTTCCTACTTTATTGCACATCCTTTCAGCAGTTTATATCATTTCTACTATGAAATACACTGAAATCTACTTCTCACCTTACTATGTGCCAAGTGAATGGTACGACTCAGCGATAAAAGTACAGGGTAGCAAGCCTCACAGGATGCTCAATGTTCCCTTCAGACTTGGCGTGCTACTTTCGCTGATGACTGACCTTGATATTGCTCACTTCTTTAGCATGTACAGACTCTCCTGCTAAAATTCTCAAGTCAGCCATTGTTCTCAGTGCTTTGTATAATCACACGTCTATCGTGCCAAACATACAAATGCCATGGAAATACAGGTGCGACAAGACCTGGACCACCCACCTCTTCTCCAACCCCCGTCTTTTCATACTCCTGACTCATCACTGCACCTACCACTAGGCACATCCTTGATCCTCGTTTTCTTCATCGCACCAGCATGTCTGATGACTCGAAGGTGAGTCACTGCATATCACCATACCCATTTCGTGATCCTTATGCTCAACTTGGATATACAGTCACTCTCAGGCCACTGATTTTTGTTTCAATGCAGAGAAGGCTATCAACTTGAGTGTTGCAGCCGCACCAGAAGACCTTGCCGCCCAAGGGAGACCAGGCATCAAGCGCTCGAGCTTGAACGTCTGCATACTTTGTTATTCGACATGATTCTCCCAGGTATCCAGTAGGCTCTGCTAAGGTCCTGAAAGCAAGCTGAGCTCAATGTTCGGTGAACCAGTACGTACTCTCCTACACTGTAATGCAATAGCACCTTGATGCTGACAACATGGGTAGCAAGTAACTTGTATTTTCAAGGACTCATCAGACCTTGCGAGGGTCACAGCAGGTCTAACTTCTATAAGACATCGTCATCTTTCACTCCACTAGAAGAACAGCCGTTCATTCCAGACCACTATCTCCACAACTGTGTAATGGGCTGAACAATCGAAGCCCGACCCAACCCCTTGTTTGCACAGACTGAGACTGCAGTCAAAGGCATGTACAGAAACTCGAGTTGAGGAGCATACAACTTTGTCGTGAACTCCTGCTTCTCTATATGAGCGATCATCCATGGCTGTGTGACCAAGTCAAATTCTCGTAATATACATGATGATGTGTAGCAGGATGGAAGCTACCCAGAGGGTAGAACACTAGAAGCTCAGACAGTAGTCGGAACGTGGATGAGAGTTAGATTCGACAGTGACGGTGAGTGATAAGGTAAGTACAACTGCGATAGTCGAATATATATGAATCAGGACAAATAGCGTCACAACAGTCCGGCGTGTCCAATCAACGAGCAGCAAGGAATCACATGGTAAGCTCTGCTTACACCCTCCCCGACTATCCTTGAGGTCTTTCGCTCTCCCAGACATCTAGCGCCTCGCAATCCTCCAAGTCACGTCGTGGAAGCCACTCATCGTCCTCCGGGCCATACCCAACCCAACGAACCAAGTACCTCTTTCCTCGACCCACCCGCTTCTCATCTAAGATTCGCTCAATGAAGTTCTCGGCTTGTCCATCCTCCGTCACCACAGGTCCGGGTCTAGGCAATTCCTGCGTCGGGAACAGTGTTGCGTCGTTAGGGATGAAGGGGCGCAGTTGTGAGATGTGGAAGGTGGGACAAATGTTGGGCGAGTTGGGAAGGTTGAGTGTGTAAGTGGAAGTTGCAGGGTTAGCGTCCACGATCTTGTATGGTCCATCATATCGAGGCATAAATTTGGCGACACATCCGTCTCCTTTCTGCATGTAATCCCTCCGACGGTTCTTCGTGGCTAGGAGCACAAGGTCGTTCACTGCGAAGATCTTCTCGTGCGTGCGATGTTTGTTGGCTGATGAGGCTTGAGAGGCCTTGGCTGCGAGCAGATTGTCTTGTGCTTCCCAGACATCGCTTTCTAACCGGGAGAGGATGGTGCGTGCGCGTTCTTCGTCAGTACCAGCCAGTGTTGCGTCCATGGTCACAAGCGGTGGCACGACACGTGGTGAACGTCCCGTCCGCAACTGAAACAGTGTATACCCAGTGCTAGTGTTCAGCGCATTCATGATGTGAAAACGCACCCGGGGCAGTGCCTTCACCCATCCCTTCTGGTTGCAATCAACGTGGTAGCGTAAGCACTGATTGACGGTCTTATTGCTGCGTTCGCTTGCACCATCAGTTTCGGGATGATATGCTGAGGACATCTTGAGTTTAACCCCCGTCAGTTTATTAAGCGCTTTCCAGAACTTGGATAGGAAAAGCTTATCGCGGTCTGAGACGATCTCTAAGGGTAAACCGTTTTCACAATACCAGTTGTCGAAGAAGACATTCGCGAACTGTTCGGCTGAAATGTTGTCGCGACAGGGTACCAACCGAATGTCTGAATTGAGACGGTCAGTCATGGTAACAAGCATGTTGTACCCGTGATCCTCCGGTAGTGGTCCAATGAAATCAATAGCAACAGAGTCACCTCGTCCATCGGGCACTGGTAGAGGATGCAGGGGTCCGGGAACTGCTGTCGTTCGTGACTTGTTGCGCATACATTCGGTGCACGACGGAATATATGACTCTGTGAGGTCGCGTCTCATGTTTGGCCAATAGTAAGCTGATCGGAGGGCGCTATAAGTCTTGTCAGCTCCGAAGTGACCAGCTGCGTCATGTGCGAGGTGGAACAATTCCTCTCTTAGATTATTGATGCGAGGCACCACTAGACGACCTGCTGTAAAGAAAAGACCATCCCTTTCTGTCAAGCCTGGTAGTGACCCCAACAGGCTAGGCAAGCGTTGACACCAGGGATCTGAAGCATACCCGTCCCTAATACGATGCTCAATCGATTTATCTGCGGAGATAGACAAAACCGCTGCAAACACACGATCATCTTCAGTATCTGGGCCCACAGTCGCTAGACCCGTTGCGATATTATGTAATGAAGAACACTCAGCGTCCGTTCGTCGTGACAGGGCGTCCGCAACAGTGTTATCTTCTCCCTTCATGTAGGTGATAGACAGGTCGTATTGCGACATATACTCAGCCCATATTGCTTGACGTCGTGACAGATCCCGTTGAGTCGCAAAATTCTGTAGCGTCCGATGATCTGTGAAGACATTCACATGGGCACCCAGCAGTTCGACCCGCCACTTCTTGAGAGCCCGGATGATAGCCAACAATTCCTTTTCATGAACAGGGTAGTTCAGTTCCGCGTCGCGTAGCTGTGTCGAGTCATATGCCACTGGACGAGCTGATTGCCACGTCTTCCCCCATGATAGCACCGCGCCTGTTGCGTAGTCTGACGCATCACAGGTCACAAAGATGTGATTCTCCCCAGGGTTGTCATGGTCTATGGTTGTTAAACATTGAGGACTCACGACTAACTCCTTGATGGCTTGGAACACCATGTCATGCTTGGAAGTCCATGCAGGGAAGTGCAATTCGGCCGCTTTTGTGGTCAAAGGTGTCAGTACATGGGTGTGCTTCGCGAGAGCAGGCAAATGATCTGAGAGGTAGCGTACTATGCCCAGGAACGCCCGAACTTCCGTTGTCTTTGTGGGCCTAGGCCAGTCCAAGATCCGCGCTACCTTTGCTTTATCAGCCTCAATACCGCGTGCGGAAATGTGATGACCTAGAAAGTCCATTTCAGTAGCAAACAATAGTGTCTTCTTTAGTGAACAGTACAAGTGTGCGTCACGCAAGGCAGATAGAACACGGCAAACATTACGTTCGTGCTCCTCAAGAGTCTGTGACCAAATGATAATATCATCAAGATGTTACAACAACGTTACATGAGTCCCCTTGCCACCCTGCCCTCTGCCACCTGCACGGCTACAGACGATACCCGGGCCTCTCCTGCCCTTGGGATAGAACACAGGATAGAACACCGGACCGATATAGAAGAGAACTCCGGAAGATGCCGGATTAGATAAGCGGTCTGGACCGCCATGACGACATAGGTCTAGAAGACCTATTCCCGTTATCAAGATAGAAGGCAAGCCTCGTGTTGCCTCGTGTACTGATAGAAGCCCGCCTCATGGACGCTATCTCTGACTCGATAGATAAGCAGATTAGAACCCAGCTTCAGGCTGAGCTTAGATACGATAGAGTAGCCTTATATAAGGTCGACGATTAAAGTAGATGTTCCTTACTTTAATCTTACTTGGTTTTCCCTTGAAACCTCTTGTCTCGCATAAAGCTACCTTGCTTGACTTCAGGCTCGCACCTTCGGAAGCTTGTCTTAACGACCACGAACCTTCCGTCTGTAATCGCTATCATCGCCCCACAAAGGCGTACGCAACTTCTGCTCTTCTGTGGAAGCCGACCGAACTCAGCATCCTGAAAGCCGTCTTCTCGGCCTTTGCTGTTTAGCCCATCCAAGTACGCACACGACCTAGCGTCGTAACAAAAGATTAAAGTCTTCACGAACGTCACCATCTGTGACGTCCTGAACGCACCTGCCTCCCACCGGAGCTTGTAGAACCAGAAGATCTCAGATCTCAGATTGCACCGGCCTGACCAGTCGAGGAACCTAAAGAACCGCTGTCACAGTAGAAGACTTCCTGCAGGGAACACTACGAAGAAGGATAAAGAACCATCTCCAATATGGCGACATCCACCAGAAATACCTTTGCCGCTGCGCACCTCACCGGAAAGGAGACCCGCATATACTTGCGCGATAAGAAATGTTTTGTGTGCCATAACATCGGCCACAAAGCCGCGGGCTGTCCTCAATGGACCCGAACCCCACGGAGAAAGATGATCGAAGAAGAACCCCGCGTGCGCACCATCAAGGTGGCCGGGACGATGAAAGAACTACGGGTGAAAGCCACCCTGATCTCCAGAAAGAGAACTGCCCCGAGTCCGACTACCATGATTGTAGATTCGGGGGCGTGTGAGTCCTTCGTTCATGAGGACATCATCACGCAGCACAGAATCTCGATGCACCAGCTAGAGAAACCTTTAGTGCTCTCGAATGCTGACGAAACCCGCTTCGGAAAGAAGCCGATAGAGAGGTATTGCATCCTCACCTTCCAGATCGACGAACGGGTGATAACCGAAAGGTTTTACCTTGCCGAACTTGCTCCTCAAGACAAGTTCCTGCTCGGATTACCTTGGCTTCGCAGCCAGAACCCCGCCATCAACTGGATGACTGGCACGGTGACCCTCAAAAGCACCGCTGATTCCCGAAAGAAGGAAAGGGAGATTGATTCAGATCGGAAGAAGAACGGCAAGACGCCACTCTTCCAGAAAGAAAAGAAGGAGACGAAGAAAAGGGAACGATCAGTGTCCCCGACAACTCCCAGAAACCCCCGAACGGCTAGTGCTTCTATCGGCCTAGCCCCGACAACAAAGATCGTACCGGTCCCCGAGGAACCGCAGTATTCAAATCCCTCAACGATCGTACCACGGCCCACGAAAACCGTGTTAAAGAAAGATTCGCTGCCAAGAATAGACCTTGCAGCCAGATACTCCGAACAGAAGAAACCGGCCACTGATCCGGAGACAACTCAGAAGAAGACTTCTAGACCGGCTTCGATATTCGACCACGCTTATCCCGAAAAGCCTCCTATGAAGAAGATTGTACCTGCTCTTCAGCAGACGAAGATTGTACCGGCTGTTGAGCCGATGAAGAAAGATCCCGTACCCGCCCGATATGAATTCTCGGCGGAGCCTGCGTCAGTCCTTGGAAAGGGACGCGCAATGATGACAGAAGAACCGCCTGTTTCCAAGGCGCTCAGACTGGAACCCGAACCAGCCCAAATACGGATGGAAGATAGATTTGTATTTTCCGGAGAACCGATATCCGTTCTCGGAAAAGGAAGAGCGGTTCAAACCGCAGAACCACCTGAAGCCAAGAAACTCAGGTTTTATGAAAGTCCGGCTGATGACTCCGACATCGCCGATGAACCACCGAATTCCCTTAACCTTACCACGACGTCCAGGGAAATCCCCGCTGAATATTCCGATGAAGCGATGACAATTGATCGCATCATCTCCGATGGACCCAGCTTTGTCCACTTCACGGACCTTGAGGTTAAAGACGAGGAAGACGATGATGATGAACCTCCGCAGTTCGTGCGGATGGTAGACTTAGAAGGAAACGATCTCGACTACGACGGCCCTGACTCGGGCCTCGACTTCTAGAAGATGAATATAGTCGGTGACTATACGGCTTAGGAAGGGGGTAAAACCCTCAATTTGCTCTTATTTGTTTCACACTCCCGACTCCGACCACTTCTTTGACCCCCGATTTCGACTTCTGATCCTCCGAAACGAGGCTAAACTAAAGATCCTCCAGCATGAGGCTAAACTGCGAGAACCTCCGAAACGAGGCTAAACTATCGAACCTCCGGCATGAGGCTTAAACTGCACGATGGTCCGCAATGACCTAAAACTATGCACGTCCGTAACTGACGTAAAACTATGAACTGAAGACTGCCTTGTCTCAGTAGATCGTCCGTAACTGACGTAAAACTATCGGACAAAGGACGAACTCCGGAAAACTCCTGCAAGCTTCGGAACCCCTTATCCACTGATCTCTTCGATAAACACCCGCGTATAAGAACCACGATCTTAAACGAAAGGTTAAGAAGACCCCCGCGTATCCCACGCATAGAACCTTCGATATCTGATGTGAACATCTAACAAAAGATAGAAGAAGAAGATCCTCCGGAACGAGGTTAAACTATCACGAGACGAACTCCACGGAAACTCCTGCAAGCCCATGGAACCCTCTAGAACGACGATCTTAGATTAAACAAAAAGATCGACGACGATTGCACCTATCACGGCACCTCCCCTCTGATAGCAACGAACCGAACCTCGTATCAAGATAACGAGATGATCCTCTGCCTCATGGCATGATAAGATGATAGACATGATAACGACGAAGATAAGTTAGATTGAATCGGAGCTTGGATTGATCTGGAAGAAGGTTATAAACCCTCTCGATCCCTTAACATCTCTCCACCGAACCTCCACGATATCATGACGAATCCCCTCGACGACAACTCTGTCCAGATTGCACTGAAGGACTCCGACTACGGACGAATCCTCAGAACGATTGAGAATAGCGCGTTCAATGAAGCGGCTATCTTAACACCCGCGTACTACCAAGTGATCAACGACATCCTTGGTGAACAAGACGCCAGACTTGCAGCAGGCACCTCCCTTGCCGTCTGCATTATAAGAACCACGAAGCTACTGGAAGATGTAGCCAATCGTGTTGACCTTGATGAAGAGACGAAGAAACTCGCCGTCATTCATCTACAGAAACGGATCCGCGGCCTCGCGCTCCATCTACTCCCGCTTGATTTCCCCGACATCGCGAACCAAGCTGTTAAGATTGTAGAAACCAGAAAGGCCAAGGAAGAAGAAATCCGTCCGGTACGCCCGCCTAGAAAACGAAAGGCTACCACAGATTGTACCCGCACGACGCCATGTAAGCGCTGCGGAGGATACGGACATCATTGGAAGAAGTGTCCTGATTATGTTTGTTGCATTTGCGATGAACTCGGACCCACCCATTTGTCCATACACTGCCCTGGACTCAACGGACGCATTGTCCTACAAGAGTTTACAGATGAAGAGAAGTTTTTCGAAGCTCTCTCAGATTGGGAGCACAACCACATGGCGCTCACGGACCTAGAACTTCGGCATCCCACCGAACTGTCCCTTGACCCTGAAACTCCCTCCGTACCTTCCACGTCCACGAAACCGGCGCTGCCGTCCTTGACAATGGAAGAAGTCTTAGATAGTCAAAGCCGGTGACTTTGACGATAGTAGTGGGGTAATGTTACAACAACGTTACATGAGTCCCCTTGCCACCCTGCCCTCTGCCACCTGCACGGCTACAGACGATACCCGGGCCTCTCCTGCCCTTGGGATAGAACACAGGATAGAACACCGGACCGATATAGAAGAGAACTCCGGAAGATGCCGGATTAGATAAGCGGTCTGGACCGCCATGACGACATAGGTCTAGAAGACCTATTCCCGTTATCAAGATAGAAGGCAAGCCTCGTGTTGCCTCGTGTACTGATAGAAGCCCGCCTCATGGACGCTATCTCTGACTCGATAGATAAGCAGATTAGAACCCAGCTTCAGGCTGAGCTTAGATACGATAGAGTAGCCTTATATAAGGTCGACGATTAAAGTAGATGTTCCTTACTTTAATCTTACTTGGTTTTCCCTTGAAACCTCTTGTCTCGCATAAAGCTACCTTGCTTGACTTCAGGCTCGCACCTTCGGAAGCTTGTCTTAACGACCACGAACCTTCCGTCTGTAATCGCTATCATCGCCCCACAAAGGCGTACGCAACTTCTGCTCTTCTGTGGAAGCCGACCGAACTCAGCATCCTGAAAGCCGTCTTCTCGGCCTTTGCTGTTTAGCCCATCCAAGTACGCACACGACCTAGCGTCGTAACACAAGATAAACATGGCAGATGTCGCCAATGAGGTGTCGCAAGGCCATCATCATACGTCGTTGGTGAACCGCAGGCGCATTCCGTACTCCCATGGGCATCACGGTCCATTCGAATTTACCGAAAGGGGAGTGTACCGCAAGATACTTCATGTCATCAGGATGAACACGTGTCTGAAAGAAGGCGTTCGTCATGTCCAGTTTACCAAAGAACTTCCCTTTTGCGCAATCCCGCAAGATCTCATCGATCCGGGGTAAGGGATGATTGTCCGGCACAGTGTTCAGATTGAGTTCTCGAAAATCGTTGACCCAGCGCGGGAGCGCAGTCGGGTCGGCCTTTGGTATAATAAACGCAGGAGATGAGTATTCGCTCTCTGAGTGGCGAAGTCGTCCACTTTCAAGATGCGAATCTAGTAAGGTCTTCCATGCGGCCTTATATTTCTTCGGACAGTCGTAAGAGCGCTTCTGAATTACCTTATTCGCGTCCTTCAACCTTACACGAAAAAGGATGTCGGTCGGCAGCATATCATTGTGAGGAATATCTGCAGGAAAACGATCAATGAATTCTTCTTTCAGAGCTACATCTCGTGCCGTCAGTTGGTCTTGAAAACTCAACCGGTCGATATGTTCTTGTACCGCTGCAACAATGTTCACACCATTGACAGGCGCACACTCGCTATCGATAATCGCCTTATACTCCGGTAGTACGTCCTTCAGCTCGCGTAAGACGTCTTGTTTGAAACCGTAGACTTGCAGTTGGTTTGGGACAATAGACGATGGGCAGACAGGCTTAACTGTGGGAGGCGGATTCAAGAGGTCGTAGTTGGAGTCTTTGGAAACAACCGTCCGTAGTTCGTGATCAATTACAATCTTGTTATGTGCGAGAAACGGGCCCCCCAAGAGAAGGGAAGTACAAAGATTAGGCGCGATGATCGCGCGTACAGTGTGGGACTTGTACACAGAATCGAGAGATGAACATGCAAGTTTAACGTAATGCGAGAGGAGAAATGACTGCTTCTCCTTTCCCGAGAGCGCAACTGAGACTGGGAAAGGCTTTGGTAATGCACGGCGACGGAGACCGAGTTTGATGGCGAGGGCTTCATCAATCAGAACTGCGGGAGATCCATGGTCAATCAATGCAGAAACGACAACAGAAGATGAAGCAGCTGGGCCATCAACGAGACATTCCCAGGTGAAATGTGGGATCGTGAATGGGGCCATGCACTCTTCTCCAGAATCAGTTCCGTCACCAAGAGCAGCAGACGGCATGACAACTGCTACCGTGTCTTGGATTTCGACAGCTGCCACAGTGGTCGTACCCTTCCTACCCTTCTTGGCCGCTACAGAGGCTGCTGTGAGAGATTTGTAGGTGGCGCCATCCGGAAAGCCCTTGGAGCAATTGCTCGACGAATGATGTACGAAGGGCTCGCGGCACTTAAAGCACCCCTCGTTGTCGCGTAGGAGCTGGCATTCGTCATCTGTGAGCGGTGGTAGACGGGTGAACGGTTTGGAAGAGGTGGAACTAGATGTGGTCTGTCCTGCTTTGGAATTGAAACGAGACGATGATGCAAGTCTCCTGTCAGTGGTAGTTTCACCTCGTTTCGCACGCCAGGCCGCCTCCGCCGCTTCCTTGTGTTTTGCAAGGTGGCGTAAGCGTTTCTCATCTAGCAACCTCACCTTCTCAATCCACTTGCGTAGATCGGTCTTGGTGATCTGCTCAGTATGATACTCCGCAGCTAGGTCAGGATGCATGTGCGATTCGAGATGGTACTTCAGATTGGTGTCATTAAGGTGCGAAGTTGAGTCACGAAGGAGCGTGTTTTTTGATTGAACCTCGACGGCCCACTCATTGAACGGCTTCTGTCCTTGTGTCGACGACAACATCTTCTGACGGACGGAGTCTGCCCAGTCTGCGGGCAACCAGTAAGCACGGACTTCTTTTATATAATCCGCAAACGAGAGTTTGTTGAAACGGTCCTGGTCATTGAGGTACCAGTCCTGAATGATGGGCTCTTGCATTCCCCAGGCGACTTTTTTGACCATTTCGCCCTCAGGGATCTCTTTGTGCATGAAGAATTGCCTACAACCCATCTCCCACGCGCGAAAAACCTCAGGAGAGATCTCGCCCGCTGTGAGAGAGGGAGGTTTGTTAGCAGCTTGTTGCTCCACACGCGCGAGTTTCGATGGTGCGGACATGGTAGGTATGTCGATCCAAGAGTCGGTTGAATCAGAGGAAGTGGATATATGCGTTGTTGTCGGCGAGCTGGCACGACTAGCAGGTAGTTCAGTGAGAGGGGAGAGTGCAGGGAGCGGGTTGATTATGTTTGTGGTTGACGTAGCCGCCGACGACGTTAATACTTTGCGAGCACGACTACGTGTCACGAGTGGGGACAGTACCAGTATACGGGAGCGGCGAGGAGGCAGTTTGCAAGTCTGTGGTAGCCAGGTGACTAAGTCGACCTGGCGGCGTGTTACGGCATTTTTCGGCAAAAGATAAGATAACAGTAGCGGCAAGGATAACAGGAAACAAGTAACGCTCAACTGTACGTTCAAAAAAAGTGGAAGCTACCCAGAGGGTAGAACACTAGAAGCTCAGACAGTAGTCGGAACGTGGATGAGAGTTAGATTCGACAGTGACGGTGAGTGATAAGGTAAGTACAACTGCGATAGTCGAATATATATGAATCAGGACAAATAGCGTCACAACAGTCCGGCGTGTCCAATCAACGAGCAGCAAGGAATCACATGGTAAGCTCTGCTTACACCGGACTCCGAAGCAGAATTAGATCGTCCTTGATTTTGGCTCTAGCATACTCAAATTCTGGATCCTGAATCTGCCACCGCTTACATTAAAAACTTGGGTGTTAGATAGACCAAGGACATCCAAATGCTCCTCCCATTCCACAACAGACTCATCCAATAAGTTAAGGACGTAACAAACTCTACCAAACCCACCTCCACCAGTCATCTTGTACGGTCCAAGCCTCGCTCCACGAACGACACAGAATAAGTCACAGAATAAGACATCACACCGTGGGATTTGCAAATGAGATGTCGGACATTGGAATATGCACGAGGGCACTAGTAGAGCCGCGTGGATGTCGGTTCACCTGCCAGAGATGGAGGTGCTTGCGTGTGGCAAGAATTGCAAGCATGATGGACTGGACACTATACGTGAAGTTACGTTTCGGGTATTATTAGTAAAAACATGCAGCAGGATGTGGAGGTGGATACCTATTCAAAATGGTCTGGTAGGAGTCCTGGGACGCAGAACATTAACGGTTCGATCATAAAAGGCATTTAGGAGATCAGCGCACCTGGAACAGCAGCGGTGTAATAATGTTCGTTACTGAAAACACTTCAGAAATCAGGATGAGTACGGAAAAATGGCGTGTGTGAATGTAAACTCACGAAAACCGCATGCATAATAGAATATGTTATAGTTCACCAGGACAACGTACAGATGGCTTGAGTTTATCTGCCAGTTCTGCATGGCGCATATGAGTGTGAGTATTATGAGTCCTGAGGAGAACACCTGTCAGCGCGTGTTTGTATATGTACATGCTCCTGGTTACTACCCACCCAATCCGAACACGGAAAGGAGAAGAAATGGTATGAAGTACTGGAAACTTGTCGAACTCTGATAGCACACTGTGATTCCCGGGATCGCGCTAGTCGCATCTGTGAAAGTGAACAGAATGTTTTAGTGGTCGTGGAACGCCAGAGGGAAGGTGAAATCGAGTACATGCTGCAGCGACGTCAGTGGGGAAGATAATGCTGAAGGATGCCATAAGAAAAGTCTGTCTGATGGATTCACCACTAGCTTGGGTATTGTGAGTTCGGATCTCACCGGTCACTGGATGTACAGCCTGGGGAGCACTTGATAACAGATGCAGTCCCTTCCCAGAATATTCATCTTTCGCTTCTAACATTCCAACTGTAACATCACGCCGGTTGTGTTCTCGAAGATGAGAAATGATTTCTGGGTTAGTGTAGCCACTTGCAACAAATCATTCCACTGGCGGCCGTACAGCTTCATCTGAAGCTGAAACTTGTGCGTTACATTTGCGAGAGCTGCTAGCGCTGGCATCAATATTAATGTGCTCACGAGCAATGGCATACCTATTTCTTCCTCGAGGGATGGGCATCTAGTGAGGAACGTAACAGGCCTACGAAATTGGGATGCAAGTGAACAAAGTTCGTATCATTGAATGGATACTAACCGCTTATACATAGGCCTGACTCAGTGGACCGCAAACGAAGCAGTGGTGCGCTGTTCACTCATTCAATTGGAGAAGCATATCAAGTTGCACTCTTCAAGTTCTAACTGGCTTACCGATGCTGTATATTTGAACCATGGCTTCGTTCCATCAGAGTCCGTCTGAGTCAGGCTGGGGTCGGTCGGTCGGTACTCAAGTTCTGGAGCGGTCAAACTATGTCCATTGTAAGTACACAACCACTTGTGACCTCCTGTGACGGCAATATTTGAGGTGCACTAACAAATAGTTCAAAAGACTAGAACAAACAGTGATCGGACTTCAAAATAAGTCGCGGCAAATCGGCAAATCGAACCGTAACCTATCGTCCACCATAGATACTTGCGACGAAATGTCCGCATCGGTGAAAAACAGATATATCCGGGAGACTCAGTGTACGTGGCGCTGAGCCTAAGTGCTCACTTGAAGCGCTCAATGGCGTCCGCCTTGCTTGAATGGTCGCATAATTACATTAATGTTATAAGTAATCCTAATAGCATCACATGTGTGAGTACTAGTACATATATAGGTCATCATTGGTACATGGGGAGCATATAGACTCGTCCTCATTCCTCTGCCACCTGACATGCTTCTCCTATGTAAGCTCAGCGGTTGTGAGACCTGCTTGAAAATTCGGCATTGCCCGAGGTCTGAGGTGGCGGCATGACCGCTCCGCCGCATAAACCTTCACACTGCACACAAGCCCGATAGGATGACCCTGACCCTTGGTATCTTCTCGAGCGCCTCAAGTGAGTATCATGCGCTAAGAACTCAGGGTACAATCATAATATTATTAGGTTCGTTATCATTTTGGCGCTGCTTAGTCTCCTCTAACCACAACTTTGGGACGAAGCAAGGCGTCTGATTCTGATGGTAGTGGGCGTTTCCTGTCAGGTTAGTCAGTCTCCCGTGTGCCGAATGCCACAGGGTGATGAGGAATGTACCCGATAGTAGCAAATAAAGCTAGGACGAGTACTTGGCGGCCTGTCACTGCGGCTTATGAATTCTACCGCTCCTACTAGCGCGTGCCGTGGATTAGCGCAAGTGTAACAAGCTCTACTCATATATAAGTGTATGTGCTGGCTACTTTTGCAATCTGCTTCGGTGACGGCCTCTACAACATCTCTCGCGGTATCTGATTATCGATATTCCTCTGCCAGTGCTTGGTCGTTAAAACGATAAAGGACATAATTCTTCAGTACCAATGGCTGATAACTGGAAAAATTTGTGAGTGGGGTGTTTAATCCAAAAGCCATCCTCTAACGGAGTCGAGTGGCTCATCTACTAGTAACTGGAAGGACACTCCGCGACCTCCTGCTTTATCAGCACAGAAATCTCAAGATTCTCAACGACAAATATATGACGGGTACATCATGCGATTCACGTGGATAATCAATAGCTAATCAATTTACAACATTAGACCGCAGGAACTTTTGCAGCAAATCCTTGAGACGCTACAAGACTCAAGTATCGCGCAAAAAGGAGACAAGGACGAACGGAGCAGGTTCTGGGCGACTTACGACCAAGTTTCCAAAGAGCATGATGGCGAGTTCTTAGAGCGGAACAACAGCGATATGGACATCGTGCTCATTTTCGTAAGCTATCAAATTCTTTGATGCGTTCATCTGACTGAGAGAACTTCGTAGTCTGGTCTCTTCTCTGCTATCAATACAGCTTTTATCATTGCCATGCAACCTAACTCCACGACCACCGTGTTCGTTCAAAATACCTCCCCAAATATCACCGTCTCATCTTCCACCGGATCAGACGCCAAATCGCCCAACGGCACTTGGTTTCAGGGTTTGGCATATGTTGCATTGTCGTTCAGCCTTCTGGCTGCCTTCGGTGCTGTACTCGGCAAGCAGTGGCTCAGCCATTATAAATCGAACAATATTCGTGGTTCCCTTGAGGAACGTGGAAAGCACAGACAACAAAAGTTAGATGGGTTGGAAGCATGGCACTTTCACGCTGTACTGCAATCGTTTCCCGTTTTACTGCAATTCTCGCTCCTTTTATTTGGAATTGCTATCTCAGCCGTCGTATGGTCTCAACAAGGAAAATTAGCCATCGCTGTCATCGTGTCGATGGCGTTCGGCGTGTTTTTTTACTGGTTCATCATCGTCGCCTCCTTACGATCTCCACAGTGTCCTTTCCAAACTCCTATTTCAGCAATCATCCGCATGCTCTACAGGCTCTCATACAAATACGTCAAGGACTGGTGTGGCAAGATGTCATTCTCGCCTGATGCTGGAGAGCTTGATGTTGGAGAGCTTGAGGAGATGCTCTCCGAGTCCCAGGTACCGTCGATGAAGTGGATATTTGAATCATCCACAGATCCAGAAGTGATCAGTTCGGTCGCTTGGCTGATGCCTTCCGTCAAATGGACCCCCGAACTGCACCCCGAACTGCACATGCGAACTATATCCTTGCGCTTGCTGAGCACATTCAAAGCGTGCTTTGGTGCTGGTGTCCGGACTTTTTCGGCACGCCAAAGAGCTCTCGCGTGCGGGAGAGCCTTGCATCACGTAGTATGCGATAAAAATATACAGAAATACATTTCCTCCAAAGTCAAGCAATTTGATGGGGGCCCGTTGGAGATGTGGTCTCACTGGCAAAGCCTCAATCTTCCCTGGGGACTTGAGAGGTGTCAAGAGATTTTTGGCCAGTACGCCACAACTCTAGGTGAAGGTCATGATACTAGTGAAGCACGCGATGCCTTGCGCCTCGCTATTGTGACTGGCTGCCCAGGATTTTTGCAGGCAACCGACGTTGCATTGATCTGGGATGGTGTTTTCGACTGGAAGGAGGACTCGCGTACCATGGACGACTTTAATTGGCTTTGTGGACTTCCTGGTACACTTCCGGAAGTCCGAAACGAGGGACTTCGATGCCATGGGAGATGCGCTGCTCGCATTGAGTGCCATGCGGGATCTGGGAAGTGACACCAGACGTGACAATTACCTTGACGCCATCATCTTCGCCATGGAAGCAGATAAACCATCCCGGCTTCGTCACACGGCCCTTCGAGCTATGTTCGATGCCCGTTTTAAACTAGTGGAGATAGTTGAGAAGGAGAAGGGAGAATTTCGGGAGAAATTATTAAAGGAGCTCGCGCCAGCTCTCTTCACCACAACCAAACCTATTGCGCCACAGCGCTCTGACGATGATGATCCAGACACGGTCTTTAATCCCAGACGTGACGACTGCTATCTACGACTAATTCTCACTCTGGCAAAGCAACGTGATTGGCGTGCTCATTTAGTGACAGCCGGTCACATAGAGCGATGCACATCTCTGCTAGACCACGTCATCATGAACTCGACGTTGTCCGTCACAACTCATTCTTACTATCTTGCAGCCATATTGATACGGATGAACCCCTCGGGCGTTTATCGAAGCTCGTTAAGGCGGGCTACCCTGACCTCTGCTCTGGATTCTGAACCTACGAACAAGGAAGAATGTCGTCTCACTACAAACCTTGCAGGCAACCTCCCCGCAGCCCCAGAGGTTCTTGCTCCACCGGGCTTTCCGGACAATGTATCCGAGAAGGAATGGTGGGATCTGCTCAAAGGAGCATGGTGGGCGATGCGTTGGAATGACCTCTACCTCGAGACAGAAGCAGCTGAGGCACTACCTGGCATTGTCACATACACTCTCGATCTCCTGGAAACACCGAGCGCTCGATATGATACGGGGGGCCTCGTTCGATCGGTGGATCGGATATACGAGATGCTCGATAAAGATGAAGCGAAGTCGGAAGTTTGTCGCTCTATTACGTAGCGAGGCACGAGCGGAGGAAATAGAGCTAAGTCTTTGAGCGAACGGTAAGCGAGACGTTAGCACTTCTTGCTTCTGCGCCACGACGAACCGTTCACATCGTGCACTTCGTCGACACAGCGTTTTCTTTTCTCTCCTATTCAGACATCAGCATCCTGCTAGACCGTTCCCGTTTAAGCCAAACGTAAAAACATAGCACACAAACCACCAATAGGAAATTATCTCATACACATCCTACCATGGCTGACCCTTCCCTCGAAGTGTGCCCAGATTTCGCTGGAGACCTATACGCGGCTATCCGTACAGACCTAGTTAACGCAACTGGCACCACACACGAAGCAGTGGCCGAACGGCTGAGAGACGCCTGGACAACAGGCCACGAGGCGAGGATCCTCGAATGGAACCGCCAAAGAGAAGAAGAAGCCCAAGCAGAAGCAGAGATCGAACAAGCGCGTGCAGTCCGCGAAGAAGAAGAACGCATAGCAAGAGAAGCAGAAGCCGAGAAGGACCGCTTCGACGCGGAAAAGAAGAAACCTAAGATGAACGGTTTCAACGCGACCGTCACGGTCGGAGACGCCATTGCCCCTCGTCCTTCGCAATACGCCATTCAAAAACTGAACAACTTCGAGTACGTAGAGTTATGGTATTTTTCCCCAGATGGATGCAAGGAGGCCATGAAAACATCGCGCTCCATCGCAGACGACACGTTCAGCTTAGCGAAGCTCGACGACCAGTTAACCATCCGCCCAGCTTCAGCCTTCAAGGCATCCAGATCGGCACTCCCAGACCACGAACTTCCATTTTCCATCTTCCTCAGAGCAAAAAACCTGTTCCTAATGCAAGCTAACGCGGCTAAGTGGCCTCAGACGCACCTAGACGCCCTCGCCCTATTTTTCTGGCATTTGGAGAATCACTCCATCCGAAACAACAGCGAGCTCGGAGACCTTGTAATTCTACATTACGCATCGCGGGTACGCCTAGACTGGCACGACCGCCTCAAGCGTGACGAAGGATTCAACATCGGTATCATCAACGAGAGCCTGTTACGGTCCATCAACGAAGAAATATGGGACAGAGTGCGATCCAGAACGCTGACGGCGGTACGTACTAACCTCAATAAAAGCTCGAACTCCAATAGCTCACGAGACACTATTTCTACGAACCCCTCGCACTTCCCATTGTCAACGCACATTGACTCTTCATTCCCCGCACCTTGACGTGCGGATGCCCACCATACGCTCATGTGGATGCCCGCACTACTTCTCACGCGGATGCCCGCACTACCTCTCACGCGGTCGCTGACATTCTCCTTCGTGTGGACACTCGCTTCGCACCCCCCCCCCAAAAAAAAAAAAAAAAAAAAAAAAACGACATACACAGTCGAACAACGCTGAACAAACGTCAGCTCAGCAACAACATCGGAAGACGAGCTATAGAGACTCGTCTGATCCCAAACGTCGACCTTCCCGCTCGCGTTCCCCAAGCCAGACAGACAATCACAAGAAAGCAGACGGATTCCCAACGCCAGACAAAGGCAAGAACCGGGAGCAACGCAACAAGGGTTTTTCCCGCGGCGCAGGCTCACGCGGCCGATCCGCCTGCGCCATCTGTTTGGGCCACTTCGCGCACAACATCCAACAATGCGACTCAAGCAACCTCTGGGACAAAACCACGCCAGCCCACTCCTGCCGTACACAAGACGGCCGCATCATCAGCACCAACGGTTTGCCCCTCTGTTACAGATGGCAAAGACCCGGCGGATGCACAGCGGAGAACCACGATTCCGCCCACATTTGTTCTGGATGCGGAAAAAAGGACCATGGAGCCCAGACTTGTCCTCGAGGCGAGAAAGCTTAGAGCGCACACGCCGTATCACCCGAAGGCATGGCGTCAAGCACTGGAAGAGCTCAACCTCAGCAGCAGATACCCACATATTCCAAGCTGCCTCGAGACAGGCTTCTCCGGAGGCATCCCCACCATCACGCATACATACACCCCTCCTAATAACGTATCCGTCATTGTACATGCAGAAGCTTTCCAAAACATTGTTAACACTGAGTTTTCTAAAGATCGTTTCGTTGGTCCGTTCTCGACCAAAGTGCTCGAAACGATCATCGGACCGTTCCAAACGGTGCCGTTGTCCATCATCCCCAAGCCCGGCAAACCAGGAAAATTCCGTCTCATACAGAACTTATCTTTCCCCATTAATCCTTCCCCCCCCATCAGTTCAATTAACTCGAGAGTCGACTCAGATCTCTTTCCCTGTACATACGGCACTTTCGCCACCATATGCAGATATATTCGAAGCTTACCGCCGGGATCCCAAGCGGCCGTACGAGACGTGGCCGAAGCCTATCGCACGGTCCCATCACACCACTCGCAGTGGGCAGGTTTGGTCGTTCGACTACCTGGAGAAGATTTGTTCGCGGTGGACACAGCCTTATGTTTCGGATTCGGCCCGTCAGCAGGAATATATGGTAACATTGCTGACGCTGGAGCCGACATTTTCCGGGCAACAGGACTCGGGCCGCTGTCAAAATGGGTGGATGATTATTTATTCTTCCGCATTAGGCGGGAATTCCTACGAGAATACAATGAGAGACGTAAGAAATGGGCAGATCAAATCACTGTCAATGGAGGAGCCATCATTGAGCGCGGCCGAAAATGGTATAGAGGTGAGACAATGCCGGATGATTCACATGAAGAATTCGACGAAGACTGCTCGTTCCCGATCAAAGATTTCTCAAGCTTATCACCCCGATCGGCAGAAGACGCTCAATTCACTTGTTGTATGGCCGACATCGACCACCATTCCCGACCTCTGGGAATCATATGGGAAATCTCGAAGGACAAACCATTCAGAACCGATCCCAATTTCACGGGTCTCCTTTGGGACATCCCCGATCTCTCAATCTCTCTATCTCCAGAGAAGACAGCCAAATACCTCAAGGCCATCGACACATGGCAGGCACGTCGCACGCACACGTTGCACGAGACCCAAAAGCTGTATGGGAAGCTGCTACACGCGGCACTCATCATTCCTGCAGGACGCGCTTACCTCACCAACCTGGAACGGTTGCTGGGAATTTTCCAGGATCGTCCTTTTTTACCTCGCACCCCCCCACGCGACACCACGAGTGACCTCGACTGGTGGAAGAAAACCCTCAGCTCCCAACACCTCGCGCGCGCAATTCCAGGTTGCTGCATCGCGTACGACTTCCATGCTTATTCGGACGCTAGCTCTGGTCACGGAATCGGGATCTGCATCAACGGGAGGTGGAGAGCCTGGAAGCTATGCCCAGGTTGGAAAAGAGACGACCGGGACATCGGATGGGCCGAAAGTGTCGGCTTCGAGCTCCTCGTACGCACAATCCTCAGCTCATGCCCCGCCGGCATATATTTCAAGGTTTTCGGAGACAATCGCGGAGTGGTCGAAGGGTGGTGGTCAGGCCGCAGCAGGAACAAGGCCTGCAACGAAGTGTTCAAACGCGTACACCGTGCCGCGAATGACGCCAAGTGCACAGTGCTCACCAGATACATCGCGAGCAAAGTCAACCCCGCAGACGGACCCTCCCGCGGCATATATCCCCCCATATGCCAGATGCTCCCACCAATCCCCATCCCAACTGAGCTTAGTACCTTCATCGCAGACGTCACCAGCAGTTCCATCAAGAGCGACGCACGCCGGACCAGACCGCCGCATGAACAGGTTTTCCCAATGGTCAAAGAGCACCTCCCAGAGGAACTCCAACGACGCGCTCTCCTCAACCGAGAATACGAGCGCCGTGGAGAAGAACTCTTCGAAGCGTCGAAAGACTAGTACGTACACAAAGTAACCCATTCACTGCGCTCATTCACAGGACACCAGCGTATAGCCCCAACCTGACACCAGCGCCTTCCCCGCTCAGGCCGCAATGTCCGGCAAAGGACAGATTATACCTGTGGGTACCCGTGTCAGCGCGATCACCCAAAGATGCGCAAGGGAAGAGGTTACCGCTATTCCAGTCCGAGATCGAAAAGATCCGCGACGTCATGTTGCACGCATATGCTGTGAGCACACGGGAAACGTACGGATCAGGACTGCTCGTATACCACGTATTCTGTGATAGCAAACTAATCCCAGAAGAGCAGCGCGCGCCTGCAAGCCACATTCTCATATCGTTGTTCATCACGGAAATGGCCGGTCATTACTCCGGGAGGACAGTTTCCAACTACGTCCATGGCGTCAGAGCATGGCACACCCTGCACGGGGTCGCATGGACGCTCGGCGAAGACGCAGAAATCGACGCACTGCTCAAAGCCGCCATATCGTTGACACCAGCCTCGTCGAAGAAAGCAAAGCGTGAACCGTACACCATCCCCATGATCACAACCATTCGCCAGCAACTGAACCTCGACACCCCACTCGACGCAGCCGTGTACGCGTGTCTGACGACAATATTCTTCACTTGTGCACGCGTCGGCGAATTTACCGTTCCTCGCTTAGATGCTTTTGACCCCAAGATTCACGTCAAACCTTCAGACGTTCGAAACACTCAGGACCGCCAAGGGCTTGAAATGACCAACTTCCGCATCCCACGCACCAAGGTAGCGATAGACGGAGAGGACGTTTTTTGGGCGCGCCAATCTGGACTCACAGATCCAGAGGAAGCTATGCGTAATCACATTCGCATCAATAACCCTCCTCCAGATAACGCACTCTTCGCGTACCGACACAAAGCCTCCCATACTAGACCGCTTACGAAGACAAATTTCCTCAAAAGATTATCAAGCGCAACTAAGGCAGCAGGTCACCAGCCGCTACAAGGACATGGGATACGCATTGGTGGGACTCTTGAGTACCTCCTGCGCAACATCCCATTCGACGTAGTCAAGGTCAAAGGGAGATGGGCAAGTGACGCGTTCATCGTATACCTCCGCAGACACGCTCAAGTATTAGCACCCTACATGCAAGACGCACCAGAAGTACACGAAAACTTCCTCCGATATACCTTGCCACCGGCACGATAAGACAAATGGTCAATTATGCCCTGCTAGATCCTAGTAAGTCACATCGCCCTCCTCCTAAAAAGCCGGGGTTTCATCGATGTTCGCTGCATGCGTCGTCGAACTCCTAAAAACGCGGGATAGCAGCTCACCCTTTGTCCCCAGGACAAAGTTCTTTCGGAGCCGGGAGGCGCTACGCGCCTTCGCCCGTAATCTCTCCCCCGAAACATTTATCCTCAAACTTGTACATATCTTGTCATAGCTTAGATCAGTCAAGTTTAAACCCGTGTTGATTCTCACCAGAACGTATCGATAGAGTGAACCTCAAAGATAAATGCCTAAAAGACAAAGCGAAGTTGGAAGTTAAACGCCTACAGGATGCGCTGGGAAATATGACCACATAGTTCATCACACGCAAGCTGAATATCAGTTAGAGTCAGGCGATGTACAGTATCACTCTCCTATGCAGACCAAATGGAAAGTATATCCTTTGTTGTAATTGTATCACTTGATGCAGGCGAGTAACTCATGAGGTTGGTCGTTCCTTTCGAAATCTAGGTCAGCTCTCGCGGTCGTGCGCGGAAAAAGTGGTGCATGATAAGTACTAGAGGTTCGTTCGACATGCAGACAATATTTGAGTGATACATTGGTGTGGTCCCTGTGTTTTCATAGTTCCATCCATTCAGACAAGTTGACAAGTACGTTCCAAACCGATTGGAGTACGCCATAACATCATTATATTTCCTCAATAAGTACAGCACTCTCTCGGTATGATTCGAAGAGGGTAGTGACACACCAGTAGACCGTACATGCGTCAGAAGAGACCAACCATTGTTCCATCGCTTATTTTTGGTGGGGTTCCAGACGGTAGAGAGCGTCTTGACTGGAGCTAGGAAATTGGTTGCGGGCGGTTGACCACTGGCGACTAATCCTGTAGTGGTGTCTGGATCCTCGGTGCGAAGGTATCTCACATACTCGCGTATTATACATGACACGGACAGATAATACAGAAACGACAGTGACGACCTAAGGAATGGAAGATAATTGAGTATCAATGAGAATATACTGAACATGGTGGGCAAATCTATGGATGAATTGCTGTTTTGTTGTTTAGCTTGAAAAAAAATTGTGGATAAGGGAGGCGAAAAACGAATTGATATATTAGAATGATTGGCTTGAAGACAGGAAGATAAAACGAAAATGTACGTGTAGAGAGACAAAGAAATCAAACCGTGCCTAACTCGAGACATGTCAATGCAGCTGATGCAATCACTGGGTACCCCAGTGGTTCCATTCAGGACCACTCTGCACATCTCGTTGGGAGCTAGTGAAGTGGTCAGGTCCCGGAGTGGGACGTACGTGCATCATTGGTGCATTTGATGCAAATGATCCACGAGGGTAACGCCCAGGGTGACCGCGACCTCCGTTCTTGAAATTGGACTGATGATCTCTGCGATGTTGGCGACGAGGAGGTACATTGATATTGCGCTGCTCAAACACCGGCTGCATGGGTGCACCAGAGCCTAGAGGAAAGTTTGATGGGGCTTGCATATGCTGGTTGATGCTGAATGAGGCATGATTCGGCATCCAGCCATGTGGAGTCATCATCGGAAAAGGTCCTGAATTCGGGTGCTGAATCCCTGGCGGCACTGACATGCCAGGTGCGAACCCAGGTGGAGGATATGGCTTCCAATTATTAGGAGGTTGAACTGGGAGCGAAGCAAGAGCAGTCTCTGTGGAGGTCGAAGCTTGTTCGCCTTGAGCGCCGGACATGTATTGATTCAGAGCGTCTGGAGGGTAAACAGGAACCAGAATACCCTGATCTCCGTGAATGAACCCCGTAGGTATCAGTGGCGCTTGTGTTGCGACAGGGGTCTGTCCCTGGCCTTGTTCTCGCACGGGTGTTCTCGCAGGATACGGATATGGAATGAATGGCTTGAACAATATGTCAGCGTTGTAGCATGGGAGGTCGAGATTTATTGAACCTACAGCATACATGCCTGGGTGAACAATCGGAGCAGGTGTTGCTGAAGGTGTTCTATGAGCATCCGCGGCACTAGCCGGCGGAAACGATTGGCTCATCGGTGGCGGAAGAGGAAATCCAGGGTACGCCCCCATGTACTGCATGTGATATGGCGGGAAACCAGCTACCCATCCTTGAGGATGATAGTACCCCATTGTGGGTATGGGATAAGCCATATGTTGAGCAGATGTCATCGATGTTTGTGAGGCGGAAGGAGTAACGGAAGCGGCCTGAAACGGGACAATGCCGTCTAAATTGATGGTCTGTACGTCATCCGCAACTAGAGAGGAAGGAAGTTCAGAGTCAACGTCAAGTTTTTCATCTGACTGCTCGACATCAGGCATTGAGGCTTTGGTGGCTATCTTATGGTCGATGTTCAATTCTTGTAGCCTCTCCTCCAGGGCGATCGCAGATGGCTGCTGAACATTAAGATCCACGCAAAAATCGTCGCTGGAGACAAGGGACGGTTCTGAACCATGACGGACCATGCTCCCCTCAAGGTTTCGCCCACGGTTACGGTTGGATCTCCAGTTCGTGCGATGTGGAGGGTTCCAGTCACGGAGTTGGACACGGATTGGGCGTCCGTCAAGAATCCTGTTGTGCTTATGGCAGATGGATTAACATAGGAATAGGAGTGGGGATGTTTGATCGTACCTCTTCACTGACAGCTCGAGCGGGAGATTCCTTGTTATTGAATGTGACAAAAGCAAACGCAGAGCGCTTGTTGACTACAAAAAATAATAGTTACTGATCGAGGATAACGATAATCAAAGCCTACCTGGTCGGATAACTTTGACATTCTCTACGCCGCCGTACCTTGAGAACAAATTACGGACGCGTTCTTCATCCCAGGCATTCGGGCCATACATCTCCAATCCTCCGACGAAGATGGTAGTAGGATCCAATGGACTTTCGCGCTTTGCATCCCATTGCAGGCCATTCTTGAACTCGGGTAGAGATCCGGACTGAAAGTCGCCTAGGTAGCTTCCGGTGGTAGGAGTACGAGGGATCAACGACCCTGGCGTTTTCGGGGTCATAGGCGAAGTTCCAAACTCGGGAGTCGGAGGGATGCCGAGTTCAATGTCATAGGATTCCTCGTGGTGAACCGGTGTTGTATTGAAATGTGCTGTAGAGCTTGTAATGTTTGAAATACCCGACATAGATGGTAGGTGCGTCACCATGCTAGAGTAAGTTGTGCTAAGTTGAAATTCGCCGCAAGGGGAAACAAAAACTAGCCTCTGATTTTCGTCAGCAGCCTCCATTCGGTCGCTCCAATATTTTCTCGTTTCCCGTTCATGGACTGTCTCAGAGATAGGCGGGAAGTGTTTCTTGTCCACATCTGATGGATTGTGGCTCAATGATAGAGCTCGAGGACGTTTTGGTGCCGTGCCTGTCCTATCTGATGTGTCATTCTGCGAGGACCAGGTCATGTCGCACAATGCAGTAGATGCTCGGTTCGAATTACGCGAGATGTTGCCAAGGCTAGCTGACGATGAGATCGGTTGTGTGCCAGGATGATGATAGGCAACGAGCGAATCTATGGATGAAAATCGGTTTGGAAATGGGCAATGGGATGGGGTCATATGTGTGGAGCTAGCTGCTTGAGCTTGCCAATGTTGTTGACTAGTTTGGACAGCCTGTGCGCCATGGTATGGCATCGGCTGGCGTGGATGAGCTGGATGGTGAGCCCAAGTCACGGTCAGGTGAGGGACTCTGCGCAGAGTCTAGTAGTTGCGTCAGCATACGCAGTCAAGTAGTTCTGTAAATTCACCATCAGAGCGGCAACGCAGTCATCACGGTGGCACCATTTAATCTCCCAGCACCCTGTCTCCATTTCTGCAGAGCGCTGGGCATCGTGCGGAGGAGGATACTCTTGCTGAACACCTGACTCGAATTCGTGAGGGACAAAATGTTCAATGGCCCCGAAGATGGTGGATATCTTCCTTAGAGTCTAGAGCAAAGTTAGAACCCACAGTTCCGGTTATAGGCTAGGCTATGAGTACTTCGGCAGTATAAAGGAGCGGGTTAAAATATGCCCCGGATTCATCTGCCTCTCGATCGCCGAGAGGCAGAAGGCCTTCATTCTCCGCTGCGGTACGCGCATCCGAATTGTATAAGAGTGATAAGTGCCTGGCGATTTTACTTCCGTCAGAGAGAACGAGAAAAAAAACTGAAGAAGAAGAGATACCGGGAGCCCGAGACCCTAGATATTTTCATCGCCCAAGGCAAATTAAGGTCGACAGCCTTACCATCCTGAAGGTCGCCAAAGCTCGATTTGGTGTCTGACGAAGGTGCAAACTGTCGGGGTGTACTAGAAACCGAATGAGAAGGAGGACTACTGCATATATGCGCGTATTCAAGCGCATATATGTACATGTGGGGACGGGGTCTTCACGAAAACTCACCGGTAGGATATGAGTAGTGTTCTCAAGGCTCGTGCGGGCTCATAGCGTAAGTAACGCCCCATGAATTGTTTAGGGTCCGACGAATGCAGATTTGCGATTAGCATGGCCGCTGTCTCAGGGTCCTGGTGCAACATTAGAAATATACTCGGAACATTTAATGGCGAAGACAGACCTGACACTGGATGAATGCGCAAGTTCCACCCTTCGAGTCACGAACGACCTTGATGGTCTGTACCTCTGGATGATCAGAAAGGTGATCTGAGAGCATACGAGTTAACTCCAAATGATCGATATTAGTTGGTAGACTGGGGGAAAAGTTCATGATGAGCACGCGAGCTATGTTGCGTCTAGATAGCGTACCTTCCGATGAAAATGCTAGCGTCTTGAACGATCCTATCTGCAGACTTCTTAGAGTCGTCGCAAGCGCTCAAAGGGATGTCTTGGGTGGTGACATTAGGATCTTCTGTTGGGGAGAGAGGAGGAGCAGAGAGCAATGTGTCAAAACGAGTACCCCAAGAACGCGCCTGGGTATGCTGCGGCATGTCTATAGAATGAACTAAGGAATAGTACTTGTTAGTGAATGGTAAAGGTTTTAGGTGGGGAGATGAATGAACGAGGTCCAAAACAGAGACACAAACAACCGTGGCTCGCGGGCGCAGTCTACCTAAACTGCTCTAGAATATGTCAAAATACCAACTTGTCAGAACACAATTTTGCAGCTCCACGGAGCGAAAAAAACAGAATTAAGTCCTTCTTTGTTATCCCTTCCCTCCACCGATGAGTGTAGAGCCCAAGTAGGAAACGGAAGACATCGAGATGGAACCAAGGATTCTTTGTGATTGGCTCACATGAAATATTGGATCTGGAGAACGACAATCAATTTACACCTAGATGATTTATTCATTTGATGGATTGCGTGAGACACGAGTCCGAGCTCGGGGAAGGCACTCGCGACGCCTAGTTAAGACGACGCAAGCTCCAACTCAAGGAACGCGGTAATCATTCATCCATCAGATCAGCGACCGGAACAGTGCGAGCACAATATCTGTCATGTTCATACACAAATGAGAGCTCGTGGACTATCTCAGCTTTGAAGCTTACCCCAGGTAACTTAAGATGTATTGCTGCACGGCATGCATTAAGTATTATCGGGGTACCTGGAATGTATACCAACGACTATCATAACGCAAACGGAGGCAGCACAAGATGCATCCACGGATGCCGGGCCGTCAGTAACAGGGAAGCTGTAGGTTCATTTAGAATTTTCGCTATTGAATCAATCAAGATAAGCGCACCATTCCAATTTCAAGAAGAAATACTGATACGATATGAGGGAAGCACCCGGTATTTCATTGATTGACGCCAGAAATGTACACCGCTGTGACTATGGAGACATCAGAAAGCCCGACAAAAATGAAAGCGCTGCTCTCGCTGTCACGGTGGACAACCGCAGTGAAGAGTAAAAACTCAGTAGCACGAGCGATTAACTCCGGGAACCACGTCGCTCTGATCAAGTGCAAAAGGCAAAATGACGTTTCACAAAGTTTCGACGAACGAAGGTTTGGAAGAAAGAAGTCCACGATTATGTAATCCTGTCCTGCTTCCATGCATTCGTCCAGAAATTTGTGTCCTTCATCTTGCATCTTAGGATCGACAGGCCTGCTTCCTTAACCACCTTAGACCCAGTTCACCATGTCCGACGACGGCTATGGCGGTGGTGGCGGTGGCGGCGATGACTACGACTACGACGGTCCCAGGTATGTTTTGATTCCAAAGTCATCGACAAGGAACTTATGACATATCATTCTAGTTTCACCGATGGTGCCTTCGTGCGTACCTGGCGAATCATACTGTGATCAAAATTTTGACACCCCATGTTGTTTAGGATGAAGGATATGATCTCCTCGCACAAGAACAAGAGGAACAGGTAGAAGGGGAGGAGACAAATGGTGAAGTCTCGCACGTAAATGGAATCAATGGGGCAGACCATGATCAGGAGATGGTGAACGGAGAGGAGGGCCCACAACCTCAGCCAGCGCCATCAAACGCAGGTATTCAAGGCGAGCGACAGGCAAACAAAGTCAGAGTAACAACACCATACTTGACAAAGTACGAACGAGCACGAATATTGGGGACTAGAGCGCTTCAAATCAGGTGAGAGGTCTTTTGCATCTGACTTGCATTTGATCTTATTCAAGCGTGTCATCGCAAGCATGAACGCCCCGGTGCTCGTTCCTTTGGATGGCGAGACAGATGCTCTGCAAATCGCAATTAAGGAACTCTCGCAACGAAAAATTCCCCTTATCATCCGGCGCTATCTACCCGACGGAAGTTTTGAAGATTGGAGTGTCTCTGAGCTAATTAGCGAATGACACATTGTCTTGAACCCTCTTCCCGCAGTTTTACCGGGTCTCATTTCGCTTGTTATCTTGTCCTGTTTTACTATTGTCTACCTCAAAGACTTGAACTATCTTGCAACATGCAAATACTACTGGAAGAATATAACAAAGGTATACCATACAATTATTTACAGCCGACTATGAATACTAGGCTTCGGGATTTCCACCCACATCTCAACCCTTGATTTGGCAATATTTCGAGGCCGAGGTTTATACTCCCTGGAGACGACCGATGCGCTTGCTCGGCGTACCTTTGCTTTCGGAGGTTGCAATTCGCCCATTAGAAGATCATCTCCTCCCGCATTCTTGGCTGCATTTGTCGCATCTGCAAACAGTTTGCACCTGTCTGACATGTCCAACCTATCCATACCATCCGCGATTCTGGCGATATCGCGTCTCTTGCGTGGACTTGACTCCACATCTGAGTAGTGTGACACAGACTGTCGCCGCTTACTTGGCGATGACGGAACACTGACGGGTTTTTTTGATGGTGAAGCTGGTTGTGAGAAAAATGGATCCTCCGGTGGCACATTCTCGACGTTCATATTCCACTTTGGTGCAGCTATCGAATTAAAATGAGTAACGCACTGAAAGAAGCCAAATTCACTCTTACCCTTGCCCTTCGTCTTGGTAGTGGTCTCTTTGACGGCTTTGAACCCATTGGATTCGTCAGTGTGATCAAGGGTCTGTTGTATCTCCCAGTCTGATGGTCGCATCTTCTTCCAGTCTTCCAACACTTTGTCGACCCATGCATCAGTCTCCCCTGCAACATGGCAATCGATAATATCAGACCACTCGCTGCCAGGTGGAGTCTTGTTCACGAAAATAACTTTTCCCTGCCAACTCTTTTGCACTTTGGGAGTACCGCTAGGTGTGGTTCCAGTCCCAGTGGCGTGTACGACCTTCGCGAAGTCTTTAACGAGCTTTTTGAGACCATGGACCTTGAGTGAAGTACCCATGATAATGAGCATATCGGGTTTGCGAGCGATGTCCATCGTTTGTATCGTGCCTATGTCGTCTCCAAGAGGGTGTGGTTCGTCGTAGAGTACGATGGCTGGACGAAGAGTCCCGATTTTGAGGGCACGTGCAGAGCGAGCAACTCGTGCTTCCGCTACCAGAGACTTAGCTAAGCGCACAAAACGAACCTGAGAGCTGACTTACATCGTGAGGTGCATTCTGGGCAGTTTGGGGCTTTGCCATTCTCGAACGCATGCAAGTGCTCTTCGGTACAAGGCATCTCGGCAGAGCACAAAGTGCACCGCACGCGGTGGATGTCGCCGTGCAGCTGGACGTTCCTTACTTCTTTGATCTTTAACTTTGACTTCTTCTTCCCATTTGTCTTTGCCTGCTGACTTGAACTCCCACGGAGCCCTATTCGCTCTTCTAGACCATCGATATTCTGGGTGTACGAGCGTACTAGTTTGTGCTTTGCGTCTAGGGTTTGAATGAATCGATGTGTAGGAGCAGGAGTGGCAGCATCGATAGAGCGCTTGAGCTGTGATATAAAAGTATAAAAGACAGAGGTAGATGCAGAGTTACGGAACAGAGACGCGTCAAAGAGATCACGCCCTTTCAGGACGATGTCTGGATATCGCTGCTTCACGAGCGAATAAAGACCATCTGAAGACCGGAAATCCTATATCAAGAGAATTGTCAAGCCATCGCATCTGCTACACGTACAGAGGACTCACCGGAATGCCACATGAACATGAAATGCCTGCTCCGGTGACAACAATTATCTTTTTCGATTTGGCTACTGCCAAAGAAATGTCAGAGAGTGCCCTCCGCGTGCTGGACTCTCCAGACACTGCATCAAGCGGTAGTGAAATTGTCATGAGGTATTTGTCTATGATGGTGGTTGGAGGGTCAGGATTGATTGGGAATTTCGGATGTGCTGACAGTGGGCACGCTGCCGACAACTCAACTGAAATTCAGGGTGAACACCATTTTAGGTAAATATTTGTTGTCATATGTTTGTGGACGTGTCGCGTCGCGCTCATCACGTGACTGACGCGTCCTTAATTGGTGTAGCTTAGGTAGCGAAACATAATGGTGACTCTGATCTCAGATTTGAATTTGATGCAGAGTGCACTATACATGGTAGATCATAAATATGTAGTCCAGAAGACAGTAGACAGTAACTATCATATATCAAGGTACGCGCGATCTCGCAGAACAAGGTGACATTGAACCCCCGTATTTGGCTCAATCTGAGACAGCCTTCTCGGACGTCGGAGTTCGTTCATAATACCAGATTCCAGTTTCTGCGCAGGTTGAAGAAATAATGGAGTCGAGAGGCTTGAAGTGGCCGTATTGCTCCTAGGACAGGATTGAGTAAACCACAGTACATTCGTTATTAACGCGACATACTGTGCCCAGAACATGGTGGAAGTACCGGATCTCCTTCAAAACAGTGCCATTATCATAACAGTTAAGCCAAGGGTCAGCACCAGTTTGAGAGTAAAGGGCATTTGTGATCTGTGCGCGGGTGTATGTCGTTGTATTGGAGGGAACAATTCCGGAACTATTATTGCCGAAAATCGTCAGCAGTCAAGGACTACGGCGAATAAACTTGACCTTACGCAACGAGTATATCGTAAGTAGGATACATCTGGAAAACCTTTACGACAGTCTCGAAGAAGTTGACGACTTCCTGGTGTTTCTTGTATCCGGGCTCGTAGCAAGCAACGTCGAATGCGGATGTGCAAGTAGCATGTATTGAGAACTGGTAGCAGCTCTGTCAACAGGCCCTCTATGTAAGTGATATCTGCCCACCTCGTGAGCCCATAAATCCTCATTAGGTGCGCCCTGGTTGATCCAGAAGGTATCCACTGCAACGCATGTTTGATCATCTATATTGACATGTAGTTTTGTTCACATACTGTAATGCAATAAGTCGGAGCGACCGAATTCCTGGATAAATTGTCTAACACTCGGTCCTTTATAAGGATCAATGACCGTTCCATTGGACAAGGTTGATGGCAATGGCTTGGGGTCATACTGCCTGCCAGGATCGCAGTACTGGCCTGCAGTAGTACTAGGCAGGGCGAAAGGCGTCCCTCAGCATTCATGAGATTTACAAAGCAACACAACTTACCCATCGCAGTTGAGTGGTATTATGCTATGAATACCCCAGCTGCCTTTTGGAAGCAGTTGGGCATGGGACTCGAGACCAGTATATGTATTCCAGAACTGCGCCTGTAGCACAAGCCCGCCTTGTACGACATTGCAGCATGAATCCGTCACAACCGTTGTATTCTCGCAGGAGTACTGTACTGGGAGGCCGACACATCTCTCAATGTTCGGGTACGTGGGGTAGAATTCGGCATGAACCACGGAGACCAGAACTCCGAGAATGACAAGGGACAACATACTATCCGAGTCAGTGTTCGACTCGAGAGGTATCTCTTCGCTGGGGGATCATGTTGCCGACATTTATATCTAAGACTCTCACCTGCCATTTGATATGCAGTTCTGACCTGGTCTTGACCCTTCAACAGGGGACCTACCTAGTGCGCGGCGGCGCTAGTGCTGGGGGCAGAATTATTTGCGAGCAATTGGGCATAACCGGCAGAAGTGGCAGAACCACCATTTCTGCCGCTTGGCAAGATTTTCAAAGCGCTACAAGGAGCTATGTGTATGACAATGTATAGTAAGTGTCACTAGGAAACACCATTAGAAGACTCATCAGCACGTCCACATCCCACTGTCCGTTGCAATTGTCGTGTGAGGTGTGATCATAGTTTGACATTCTGCCGGATTCTGCCCGCAGAATTCTGCCATCTGCCGGGCAGAACCGGTTTGGCAGAACCAGTTGGCAGAATGGCGGACTTCTGCCCACAACACTAACACCGTGCGCCTCGCCAATTTTTTCGCACGCGTCTGTCTCTAACTCTCACTTCAAGATATTCAAACAGTTCTCACTCACTTATAACTTGAAGCTACTTTCTTTTAGACTAAACACATCACCACCTGATGGCGCATTTCTCAATTTCCACCCCGTTTGAGCTCTTGATAGTCGAGAATTAGACTGGTGACATGTTGACTGGCCATCGACTATTGACCGAAGTGACCGCTCTGGGGTATTCTTCTCCGCTGCGAGATTTATGCGCATAAAGTGACTCTGTGATCTTCGATTCCGGGATTCGCAAGAACGTACAGTAACCAAGACATATTTTCCGATGCCCAGCCTTTCATGTCATTTGTTTAGCAGGCACTCAGAAAAGGCTGTCAGGCACGGTGAGCATGCAGCTGAACGAGGCCAGGCCGGCGTGTTCGCCGTGCGATAGCTATGATGGATGACGACTCCTCAAGACGTTGAAGCAATCGCTGCAAGAGACCAAGCGACGTTTTGGCACCTTCCGATCTCGGCACATGAAGGTTGTAGAGCAGAAAACGGTAGACAGCGACTTTATGTAAAGGCATACGTGACCTCGTAGAACAAGCTGACAATGCGCGTCTTGCATTTGACCTAGTAAGAAACAACACGCTCGGATGTCGGAGTCCGCTCATAATACCAGATTCCGGTCTCTGCGCAGCTCGACGGAGTAGTGGAGTTGAGGGTTTTGAAATGACCATATTGCTCCTAAGTCAAGGTTAACGAAATCGCTGCACGGTCTCTATCAACGCGACGTACCGTGCCCAAGACATGGTGGAAATACCAGACCTCGTCCAAAATAGTGCCAGAGGAGCCAAAACAGCCAAGATATGGAACAGCGCCAGTTTGGGAGTAAAGGGCATTCGTGATCTGCGAGAGGGTATATGTTGTTGTATTGGAAGGAACAATTCCGGTACTAGATTGTCGCCAAAGGTCGTCAGCAGTCATGGACTACGGCGGATAAATTTGAACTGACGCAGCGAGTATATTGTAAGTAGGATACATCTGGAAGACCTTTGTAACTGTCTCATAGAAGTTCACGACTTCCTTGTGTTCTTGGTATCCAGGTTCGTAACAGGCAACGTCGAACGTAGATGTGCAAGTAGCGTGCTTTGAGAACTGGGTGCTGCTCTGTCAAGAAGCCCTCCAGGTAAGTGACATTGACTCACCTCGTGAGCCCAAAAGTCCTCATTAGGCGCGCCCTGGTTGACCCAATAGGTATCCACTGCAAAGAATAGATTATACATAGGGACATGCGAGTTGGGTTCACATACTGTACTTCAGCAAGTCATAACGACCGAAATCCTGGATGAATGTTCTGACGCTCGGTCCTTGGTAAGGAGGAACAACTGTCCCATCAGGCAAGGTTGACGGTGACGGTGCAGGGTCATACTGCCTGCTAAGATCACAGTACTGGTCGTACGAGCTATGCAGGGGATCAGTAATCATGGCCGAATCATGACATTTTGAAAGAAATTTGTCCTACCTGTCGCAGTTATCCGGCCATAGGCCGTGAATGCCCCAACTGCCCTGTGGAAGCAGCTGTCCCTGGGACTCGAGACCAGTATAGGTATTCCAATACTGTGTCTGTAGCACGAGTCCGCCTTGTACGACATTGCAGCATGAATTCGTTAAGATCGTTGTGTTCTCGCAAGAATATTGCACTGGGAGGCCGACACATGCATCGATGTTCGGGTACGTGGTGAACAAATTCTGAGTCGACCGTGACGGATGAAGGAATTCAGCGTGACCTATGGAGACCGAGGTTGCGAGACTAATAAGGGACAGCTTGAACATATCAGAGAGAATGCGTTTGACAGAGGTACTTCATACCGGGGGATTATGTTGCCGACTTTATACCTGTGACCCTTTCCTGCTCACCAAAACCGAAGCATCGACAAGAACGTGCGTATCTGAACCATGTGCAACAGCCGCAGAGAATGGAATTGACATGGGTAGAATCACGCGGTCACTACAAGGCCCGGAAGACCTAGTCAACGTTGACCGGTATTTGACTAGCGTTTGATACTTGAAGTGCTCACGAACCATGAATGACTATGAATAAGGTTTCGTGCCCTAAGCACTTGTAAGTTGGGATCAACATGTTTCAAAGAGTTTGAGCTAGATGTCGGCTAAGTTTGGCCCGGAGCTGACTTCAAGTTGCGGCTTTTAATCGCGGCTAAGCTCAAGTCGCAGTATCCCGGCCCTTGGTCTAAATTTAATTTATTTCGAGATGTCTGCAGCAACACATGTGCAACACTAGAAGTACAAAGCAGATTAAAACATGATCCATCTTAAGGATCGACTAATAGGTCCAGAGTCGAGCAAAAGTCCAAGAGCAGCTAGTGAGCACGAAGAAGATCATATGTCGGTCCATCCACCTTCGTCCAGCTTGTAAGAGGCCTCGCTCTCAGGGCGGTCGGGGCTATCCACCAGCTTCGCGACACGTTCTTCAGCCCGTCCTGAAAGTTAGGTGGATAATATTAGTACGGTTTGCATTTGGCTTTGGACTACTTTTGGATGACACCGCAACCCACGGTAAGCGCTAGTGACTTGCCTTTGCGAAGGAACATCCGAGTAGCTGAGGAGTGCGATAGAATATGTCCGCCGATAGGTTTGAGAGCCCCGCCAGCCACGAACGTCATTGTTGCTCCTGGGTCGGCTACGCGAAGAGGATGAGCTGCGATTTCGAAATAAGACTAGTTAAATACATACATTGTACTTGGTTGGTTATCAAAACAGCAATCTGCGAGAGATGTCAGTCTTGTCAAATAGTTTGCCAACGGACATCAAACGTTGAATTCTTCTGAAAGCTTAGTGAGCTTCGACATCACCTAATGCGAATGCGAATGCATCGCGTTAGCAAGCACGACTAGGAGTCATTTGAATCGTTGTGCCCACTTGTGCTAGCTACATTGTGGTGAGTCTTAACATCCCGCAACGCAGGCTCGAAGACCTACTTTCTGTTGCCTTTCGCTGAGTTCGCCACGACCAGAAAAATCGACGCGAAAGAGAGCCATGATGGAGTCTACGATCTGATTACTAAGTAAGCGATTTCCTCGCCAGGAAGATTGCAAGACCTACTAGAAGACGGAAGTCTTTGTCCTCCGCAAAGCGCATGGAACATTCGCTGATAAGCTCCATCTGCAACATATTAACGATGGCTGTATAGGAGCAGAGAAGGGGAGCAACCTGGTGTTCACTGTTGAAGGCGCGCGCTGCAAATGCTATGTCTCAATGAGGTGAGGTATACAGCCATAAATATACCATAAAGGATATTTTCGAGCGCCATATTCCCGTCCACACCAAACCGATCAGCGATGGACCTGATGCGATCCGGTCTGAATGTCCCTAATACAACAAGAGCGTCGGCGATAGGTTGTCGCTCGTAAAATAACAACCACTGCACCTTCGGTATCGATATATGCGACCTGTTTTTCACATTGGATTTGACTTTATTGCAGAAGAAAGACTTGCTCACTTTGCCAGAAGCCCCACCCATCTCCGGAGGGAGTTGGGTGACAACAGACATTGTGTGGGCCAGCTGTGTCTTTCCAGTGCGAAATTCACCATAGACTGGTTTAAAACAGCTGAATGCTAAAAATGCAAAAAAAATGGCAGAACTAACTACCTTCGGAAATTGACTGTGACATCACCCCGCCTGAAAGCTAGTAAGTACGATCCCTGCTGTGATATATCGATATACTCACCACCTAAGATTGTGTCTACCGACTTGCTCCCAGTACTGATGGTAAGCACGCGCTTTCTTCGATCCTGGACTTCAATACCAGTTGCAAAGGAAGATCCCTTGTAAAGGATTATGAATATTAGAAGACAATAGATGGTTGATGGCTACCGTGATTTTCTGTGCTGCCTCCTGTGTAACATCTCGGATTGAAAGCGGAACACGGTTACCAATATGAATATATGCGCACCTTGATCTTCTCAACCTTCGCTTCCGACATACCCTGCAAAGAAAATATCGAATTCATCAGAGTCCTCCTGGAAAAACTGTAGTGGAATTATGCGAACTTTTATTTTCAGCAACTGACGACGCGTAGTCATCACGACACCAGACACAGTATTGATCGAGGCACTCTAGAACCTCCATAAGCCTGGTAGATATCGCGCATATACTGGGTGAATACCTTGAGTTTTAAGATATCTTGCACGTTTATGCCCTACAATACGCTCTGAGTCGCGAGCATATATACGCATGAACGATACCAACATGTTGCTGCAATTCATCCACATTATCAAAGAATGGCGTCTATAACGCGTCGCGTCGCGTTAGTACGCGTGAGCCTTACAGCGGATATCGATGATTGCAAACAACCTTACCTCTTCGAGGTCTTCCCCACTTGGACTCGATGGTCGACTGGGAGGAGGCATGCTTCCTTCTGGTGCAGCTTGTCGACGAGGGGCCATGGCTGCAATATTACGAAAAACAAGGTTCTAGTTCTAGATTGAATTGTATGTGTTAGAAATAAGAACCCCGGAACCAAACAGTTCATATAATCGATGTATAGCCACCGCTATGACCCTGACGAAAACGGAAGTTAAACTCCTAGACACTAGTACATACGAGGTGTGCTTGAAAGCAAGGCAGCATGAGCCACGCTTAAATCAAATAACTCTGCCAAAAACGCTAGAAATTGTAACCCTCAAGCTGGTCGAGAAAATGTCACGAAAATACAATATTGATACATCGACCAAGCACTATACTGGTTGGTTTGCTACATGCAGTCACTGTTGCGTCATAGCCGGCGTGTCCATTTACGGGCAAGCCCCAAGGAGTATAGTCATCTTCCGCAGAGCACTTCCTGCATATGAACTCTTTGTGAAGGTCAGACTCATATTGTAATCGAACAAGAAAAGTCGAACGTACTCCAAACAGAACTGTGTGATTTAGATAATGGTAGAGCTCGTAAAGGTCTGCTCTGAGCTCGTACTGATCCACAGGTTCGGTCTTGGGCAGGTGTTCATGGTACTTTTCGAAAAATCTATGGGGAAATCCACCGAAGATACGAGCGATGGCTAGACTAAACCCCGCATATGTTAAGATGAAGCTGCGATTACTCCGCCTTTGCTGTTGTACTCACTCAGCTTCATTGTGACCGAAGTAAGATGACGGATCGAAGATAACAGGTTGACCCGATAAACTATCTATGCCTGCATTACCACTCTGCTATCATCAGCATATAGTTGTGAATGCTCGACAAGACACTTACCCAGAGGTCACCATGCAATAGCACGGGCTGAATCACAAGGGGGCGAAGCAAGAATGGTATCACTCTACACCGCTGCAGTAGCTGACCCTCGTGATAAGCTACCATGCACTTACTTGGACCTTACTTGTTCCCCCTTGGTGCAAAGTTCGGAAAAGCTGCCTTTATCGCGAAGCTTGGCAAGCAGACTTCCAATCATGGCGCTGTAGCATTCTTCCCAGGTTTGATACCAGCCGTTATCTTGCCGAGTTACACCGCAGAAGGTAGGCACATGAAATCCAAAGCCCATGGTGCTCTTGTACGCGTGCAGCTCCGTGGCTAACCTCATCCCAAGTTCCTCCCCTGCTTTGTGGTTTGAAGTAAGACTTGTTATATTCCGATATTCCGACAGGAAATAAGGCCGTTCAGATGTCGTGGCAGGATGATCTGGACCGACCGCTGCGAACACCTGAGGAGCTAGTCCCGGTGCAGCATTGTATATGGCTCTGAGTGACTCTGCCTCTCCCACGAATTGCTCTCGTTCGCTGAGCGAACCTACTTTGGCATAGTACTTCCTCCCCAGTGAAGATTCTATGATCGGAAAACTGAATATGAACTGTGCATGCGGTTCTATTTTTTGAAGGTGAGGGAGAAATATATTGTCCATTATGTGGTATCGAACCAAGTGACATGACGATTTAGACTCCGGGCCTGACATAGACGGTGGCGCGGGCCGCGCGGTATCTCATTCTGGATAATTCCGAATGGGCCAGTGGTTGATTAGTACTCGCTTGCTGCGACGAGGCATGAGGTTTAACTTATTGAGTTCCCAGGGGAGCTCAAAGCAGGCCGCTGTCCGCTGTGGCTTTCGCTTCAAAGACCTCTGCCAGTATTTTACCAGGCGGCCACCCTGCCGCTCATCGGACAGGTTCTCGCGGCAAAGAAAAACTTGGCCGAAGCTACTTTTCGACGGATGCTTTCCTTGACATCACTGAAATTCACTTAGCTCGGTATGACAATAATTAAATTATAATTTTAACCAATTCTGTTTGGTCATGGTAACGTAGTACAATGGAATATAACAGTATATCAAGCACGTGTAATATTATCACCCCTTGATAATTTCTGCCTTGATGCGACACTTGATATGCCATTATAAAGGTGTATCAAATGATACACAGATGCTTAGATTTTTACCATTCTTAGTCTAAACGGTTTCATGGTATCATTTCCTGCTCATCGGATAGTCTCATTAGATATGCAATATCAGGTAAGCATAAAACTGCACAAAGTTTATATCTTACTAGCGACGATGATCATGATTGTAGTGTCCGCACATAAATTATCGCGAGCTATATCCGTTATATGATAGATACAGATATGTTCTAGGATGTAGTGCTGTCTGCCTAAGTCCATCATGGGGCTTAGGAGATATAATGTCATACAATGACTTATAGCTGAATGCAATCATGTTAACTACTAGCACCAGACAACAAAATCAATCGTTGAGCAGCTAAGGAGTGTGGGATTCGAGCCCATCCAACTGTTAGTAGAATGCGGAAACGCTAGGCATTTCCAAACCAAATGGTG